GGAGAACAGATTCTTAGGGAACTTATGCAAATAATGATATTGCTTGAAAATAAGAATATTCCCTAAGAGTTTCCAGATTCTAGAGGGATTAGGTAGGGAGAAAAAGATAAATGTTTAAATTCTGCTTACAAAGGTATAATTTACCAAATTGCTGTAAGGCATAGTTGGCATACGAGGAAAGGTTCCCTTATGTCTGGAAAAAAACCAGTAATATTTCAGACAAAAAGTCCAAAAATTATATTCATATCCATCAGTTCATGTTTAGACAATCTTTGTGCCTGTTGCTCTGTGGTCCACTCAGAAAGCTTACCTGAATACCTGATGATATCATCAGAGACATTTAAACTGCAAAAGATGCTTAGATGCTGACATTTAGAAATCTTCTTGACTGGCCGCTCTCAGGACTTAGACACTGGGTTTACAATTTGCTCCAATCGTTAACCTTTGTTTTTCTTTTGTCTCCATAGAAATGCTTATTAAATACCTGATTGCTTACACTTTACAGACCTAACTTTGAGAGCCCACTTGCATCACTGCTTCATGAAATGAATTTAACTGGACTGACCTAGTGTTAGGACTAAAGGAACTGGCTTAATGAGATGGAACTATCTACCAACTCAGCTTCTGGACCGGGAAACTTCTTAAAAGAAGGGTCAAGAATGGGAATGTAGGAGAGCAAAATTTGCCGCCCCAAAATGTCTCTTTAGCTTGCAGATTATTTTGAACTGAAAATAATCAAGGCCCAATAAAGACTCAGGAAGAAACTTTGACCTTCTCCTTAACTGCCTGAAGAATTTAGATAGAGGACCTGTTACAGGAGTAGAGCTATCACCAGAGTTGTCTGCAAAGAATGTGGGCTAAGTGTGTTGGGGGAAACTCTTAGAGACCACAGTCCACTGTGAGTCCCATTGACCCTACATGGCCCAGCAGACACTTATTCACCAAGCATTTGCTTTTCCATCTTATGTCAATTGCCTTCCTCCCCTTGGAAATCCCAAACCCCTACCCCAAATATCCTCTTTTGTCTTCAGCTGAAGATAGTATTTAAGGTGAAGATTTCAGCCATTTTGGTGAGTTACTGTTTTCCTGGGTCCCTCCATGCGTACATGTATCAAGCTTTGTTTGACTTTCTCCTGTAAATCTGTCTCATGTCAATTTCTTAGACCAGCCAGAAGAACCTAGAAGGGTCGGGGAAATTTTCTTCCTTCCCGACACCACAACCTACTTTCTGTCTCTATAGATTTGTCTATTGTGAACATTTCACATAAATGGAACTATACAGTACGTGGTCTTTCGTGCTTGGATTCTTTCACATTGTGTTATCAAGGTCCAATCATCCTGCAGTACCAGTACTTCATTCCTTTTTATGAACATCTAGTATTCATTGTAAAGATAAGACACATTCTGTTTATCCACTCATCAGATGATACACATTTGAGTTGTTACCACTTTGGGGTTACTATTATCTCTTATTTAATTTAATTTTTTTTTTGGCCCTGCTATGTGGCATGTGGGATCTTAGTTCCCCCATCAGGGATTGAACCCCTGCCCCCTGCATTGGGAGCATGGAGTCTTAACCACTAGACCACCAGGGAAGTCCCATAATTATATTTAATTTTAATTTTTTAATGGAGGTAGAGTTGATGTACAATATTATATGTTTCAGGTACACAACACAGTCACAATTTTTAAAGGTTATACTCGATTTACAGTTATTATAAAATATTAGCTATGTTCCCTATTATGTTGTACAATATATCTTTGTAACTTATTTTATACATAGTAGTTTGTGGCTCTTAATCCCCTACCCCACCTTGCCCCTCCCCCCCAATGGTAACCACTAGTTTGTTCTCTATATCTGTGAGTCTGTTTCTTTTTTGTTATATTCACTAATTCGTTCTATTTTTTAAATTCCACATACAAGTAATACCATAGAGTATTTGTCTTTTTCCGTCTGACTTATTTCATTAAGCACAGTACTCTCCAAATCCATCCATGCTGTTGCCAGTGGCAAAATTTCATTCCTTCTTATGGTTGAGTAGTATTCCATTGTATATATATGTACCACATCTTCTTTATCCATTCATCTGTTGATGGGCATTTAGGCTGCTTCCATATCTTGGCAATAGTAAATAATGTTGCTATAAACATTGGGGTGCGTTTATCTTTCTGCATTAGTGTTTTTGGGTTTTTTGGATATATACCCAGCTCTTTTTTTAAAAACATCTTTATTGGAGTATAATTGCTTTACAACGGTGTGTTAGTTTCTGCTTTATAACAGTGAATCAGCTATACATATACATATATCCCCATATCTCCTCCCTCTTGCATCTCCCTCCCACCCTCCCTATCCCACCCCTCTAGGTGGACACAAAGCACCGAGCTGATCTCCCTGTGCTATGCGGCTGCTTCCCACTAGCTATCTATTTTACATTTGGTAGTGTATATATGTCCATGCCACTGTCTCACTTCGCCCCAGCTTACCCTTCCCCCTCCCCGTGTCCTCAAGTCCATTCTCTACATGTGTCTTTATTCCTGTCCTGCCCCTAGGTTCTTCATAACCTTTTTTTTTTTAGATTCCACATATATGTGTTAGCATACGGTAATTGTTTTTCTTTCTGACTTACTTCACTCTATATGACAGACTCTAGGTCCATCCACCTCACTACAAATAACTCAGTTTCGTTTTCTTTTTATTGCTGAGTAATGTTCCATTGTATATATGTGCCACATCTTCTTTATCCATTCATCTGTTGATGGACACTTAGGTTGCTTCCATGTCTTGGCTATTGTAAATAGAGCTGCAATGAACATTGTGGTACATGACTCTTTTTGAATTATGGTTTTCTCAGGGTATATGCCCAGGTGTGGGATTGCTGGATCATATGGTAGTTCTATTTTTAGTTTTTTAAGGAACCTCCATACTGTTCTCCATAGTGGCTGTATCAATTTACATTCCCACCAACAGTGCAAGAGGGTTCCCTTTTCTCCACACCCTCTCTAGCATTTACTGTTTGTAGATTTTTTGATGGTGGCCATTCTGACTGGTGTGAGGTGATATCTCATTGTAGTTATGATTTGCATTTCTCTAATGATGAGTGATGTTGAGCATCTTTTCATGTGTTTGTTGGCAATCTGTATATCTTCTTTGGAGAAATGTCTATTCAGGTCTTCTGCCCATTTTTGGATTGGGTTGTTTGTTTTTTGATATTGAGCTGCATGAGCTGCTTGTATATTTTGGAGAGTAATCCTTTGTCAGTTGCTTCATTTGCAAATATTTTCTCCCATTCTGAGGGTTGTCTTTTCATCTTGTTTATGTTTTCCTTTGCTGTGCAAAAGCTTTTAAGTTTCATTAGGTCCCATTTTTTTATTCTTGTTTTTGTTTTTATTTCCATTTCTCTAGGAGGTGATACCCAGCTCTTTTGATCCTCATCACACCCTTAGAAGTGTGTACTGTCCTCCGTTGACTGACTGAATGAATTATGTTTTCTTGAAATGCCAAAAATGATAAATTTTCCCAGGAAATCATCGACTGGAATTAAAAGTTCCAGAGATCAGTCAAGTAACAGTTCTTGAATCGGGAAAGGAGTTTCTGATTTTAGCCGCCTTTCAACCCCACTCCTAACCTCATCAAATGAAAACATCCTGAGGCAGGAATCCAGCTCCTTCTGAAGTACAGAGATACTTCTATCTAAAAGTGCTGGCATCATTCTATGCTCGTCGTGCTTGGTGAATTCTAGATCACCTGGTCCTTTCCACAGCCCACAAGATTCTCAGAGAAGAGCACAATGGGTCAGATATTCCACTCTGCAGCCCTGGCTAGATTCATACACCTTATCTCACAGTTAACAGGGATTTGACTTCGGGCAAGTTACTTAACCTCTGTGAGATGCAGTTTGGTCAGCTACAAAATGGGGTTAATAACACTACTTCTAAGTTACCATAAGGAGTTGTCAAGCGTTTAGGACACTGCTTGTCATATTGTAAACTCAACCACTGGCTTCCTACCTCCCTATTTGTGGTGGGAGACTTCTCTGTGCCATGTTGCTCCCCCCAAATCCACATATGCATGTCCTTTTCCCCTAATCACGCTCCACCCCCACTGTCTCCCAGTATCCTTTCCTGGCTAACTTCTCATTATTCTGATATCATTTTAAATACCACTTCTTTGGGAGAGTCTTCACAGTCACCTCCACACCCCCTCTTCCTTATTCCTTCGTAGAGCAACCTGCGTTTTTCCTTCATTACTTTACCACAGTTTGTAATTTTCCCTTTAGTTTAATCTGGTTTTGCCCATAAACTGCGTGCTCCACCAGGGACCTTGTTGGTCTCGCTCTCTGCTGTATCCTCAGTACCAACAGCGGTCTAGGGTCGCAGCAGGCATTCCTCAAATATTTATGGAAAACACTAATCCTTTCCTGAGCTTCGGTTAAGAAAGGGAAAGCACCCTTCCTCAAATCACACAGATTAGTGGCAGACTTCACCCCAAGTCTCCCTATTCCCAATTCAGATTCCAACCCAAGAGCCTGACAAGAATTTTAGCCTGTCCCTAAATATATTCCGAGTGCCAAAGAAAACTCCAAAAAGGGGCGGGAGTACAGCAGTGGGCAAAATAGGGGAAAGTGATTTGACTTGGCCCCTTCTCTCTGGATCTCGATCTGAGCTTACTGTAAAGGGAGGGATTACCGCAGTAACAACGTCGCAGAGCGGCCACAAAGATGGAACCAGAGAAAAGACAGACCTTGAAAGGGCCTTGAGCTGCGTGTGAGCAAGGAAGACAGCAACAGCAGATCCTGCGCAGGCGCAGTCAAGGCGCTCTGGTCTCCCGCCTCCGTCCCGCCCCGCCTCGCCCCGCCTCGCCCCGCCTCGCCCCGCCTCGCCCCGCCTCGCCCCGCCTCGCCCCGCCTCGCCCCGCCTCGCCCCGCCTCGCCCCGCCTCACCTTACCTCTTCCCCTCCGAGTCACAAGACGCCAAGTGAAGTCAGCTGACGCGGCGTTGCGGAGGTCACGTGATGGTGCGCGGGGCGGCGGGCGCAGGCGCAGATCTTGGGTAGTTGGGTCAGCTGACCCGAGGGGCGATAGAGCCAATCTAGGCCTGTCTGTGGCGTGTCGGAAACGCCGCCGCAGCTATGGCTAGTCAGTCGCAGGGAATCCAGCAGCTGCTCCAGGCCGAGAAGCGGGCCGCCGAGAAGGTGTCCGAGGCCCGCAAGCGTGAGTTTGGGGTTGGGACGGCCAGGCGTGGCGCGAGTCCAAGAGTTGCGGGCAGGCCGCGGGAGGTGGTAGGTGGGTGAGGCCCGAAAAACTGCTGACGGGGCCGGGGGCGGGGTGGGGGATTGGTTACAATCGCACTCGCAGCTCTGGATCCGAGGCTTTGGAAGTCTTGTAGGTCGCCTGAGAGCTGCGATGTAGGCTAGTAGATAGGGCGTGGAGACAAAGTGGACGTCCTTCTTAGGGTCTCGGGGGTGTGTAAAGTGGATTATCCAAACGGAACGCGTTGTTCTCCCCCTTCGCACTTACTCCTTTGGGGTCCTCCGTCTCACTGTAGGGAGCCACCATCTACACTTTTGCTTAGGCTGGAAACAGCCCTTTTTGCCACGTCTCAGACCCTCCCTCGTTCGCCATGTTTAGTCAGTTGCCAAGGTTTATTTGTTCACTTTTTCTCCATCCCTGCAGCCAGCATCTTAATCCAGGGCATCAAGTTCTCTGAGGCTCCCGTAGTAGCCTAATTCGTTAATTCCTTACATTTGTTTTTTCAATGCTGTTAATACGTGCCAAACACAGTACCTGGGACATCTGTGGTCTTTATTGCGGTATTCAAAGCCCCAGTGAAGGAAGCAAATTTGGGGTAGATTAATTGCAGGTGAGAGGAGGGCTAGAGTTGAGAAGTGTGAGGTTGCTCAAGAACTTAACAGGTAGATCGAATCTAGATTGGTGAGTGGAAGGCTTCCTCCTCTCTTCCGTTTGGTTCTCCTCACTGCAGTCAGTCATACCTCTCAATTGCGAATATGACTTCCCCACCGCCCCTATAGTCAACAAACGTTTAGTGCTTGCAGAATAAAGCCTAAATTCCTTAAGAGGGTGTAGGAGGTGCTTTTGCATCAGGCTGTGGCTTTCTTCTCTAATCTCCCTTTTAGGTACTCGCTCCAGACACAGTGATTCCTCAAAAGCGCCTTGGTTGATTTCCCCTGCAAGCCTTTGCACAGCTGGTTCCTGATTGGAAGAGCCTTTTCCTAGGTTACTCTTCATCCTCTAACACTTAGGCTTCTTCAGATATCAAAATTTAGGCAGTAGTTCTTCCAGGAAGCCTTCCCTGACTTCATCTTTTCCTCTCAGACTAGGCTAGGAGTCCTCCCCAAGTACCTATTCCCGTCATCACTGTGCAGTAAGCTGTTTCTTTATATGGCTCAGTCACTAGACTAAGCTCCTGGAGAATAGGGACTATGTCTGATTTAACTTTTATATCTTCAGTTTCCCATCTGGTGAGATAGATGTTTCTATTCCTATTTGACAGATGGGAAAAATGAGGCTCAGACAAAAATCGTATGACCATACCCTGGGAAACAACATAGCTGGGGTAAAATACCAAAAACTATTAATCTTAGTAATGTCTTGGTGTTCTTTCCCCCAGAATAGGATTTATACTCTTATCCCATACCCAAGTAGATTTCAAGCATGGCTCTTTTACTTTTTCAGTTAGGGGTTGTGTGGTACTCTGTATTTCATTGGAAAAGCTTTCTTTGAGGGAGCTGGAGATGGGAACAAGTCTTCTATTCTTGCTCTGGTGACTGGGAAGTTCTGTGTTCCTCATGGAGTATTTCTGATCATGACCTTGACGCAGTATTTCCAGAATGACTTCTCAGAGTTTGTCCTGTGATGGCTCATCAGCAGCGGAAGTTGTATCTGTTGGGAAGCATGTGAGAATATTTGGGGCAAGTGCAAGAACAGGTATTGGGCATATGGTAAGAATGATTCTGAGTGCCTTGGAGGTAGGGGTCATATTATACATCTTCCTTTATCCCATCAGGCCTGGTGCAGGGACTTGTATATCTCAGGTAGCTATTACATAGTGACTGAAAGAACTTGTTTTAAAGGAGTGAGTTTATGGCTAATATACATCTCAGAATTTGCAGTGGTTAGGAACAGGAGTATTGAGAAGACCTATAATATGAAGAAGTTACTCTCTTTCTTGATCTGTAATTATGGTTGACACACCCAGTTAGGAATTGGGAAGAGGCAGCGCATGATGTGGTAAAATGGTCCAACCCCAGTTTTTCATGAAATCATTGCTTGGACCATAAACTTTTTAAAAATTTTGTATGTGGTTTGTCATTGGGAGTGAAACAGAACGCTGGCCTCCACATGTAAGGCCCACAAAAAAACAAGATTTAAAAGAAATGATTTTCTCCTCAGATATTTTTAGGTTTTCAGAGAAGCCAATGAAAATTGAACTTTGAAGGTGTTTGCTGACAGGCGGAGAATGGTTTACTAAGTAATTAATTCAGGGAGCCATAGTTGTTGGGAGTGATCAGGACAGTGGTATTGTGAAATTATGTGGAGCTACTGCATAATGTTCAGGCTGTGTTAAAATTTGTTGGTTTGGAAAAGAACCTTGACTTCGGAATATGGCTTTGAATATATAGCAGATGAGGAAGACAGCATGTGGGGCATTGGGATAGAAGTTGGCTCCAGCAGACCTTAAATAGTAGGCACTAAATAGTACTGGAGTAAATATATACTTGGAGAAATAGTCCTTGTGGGGCTTAGACACCTATTGATTGTTTTAGACTAGCCTCATGGAGGATTGATGTCATGGGGTCATCACCAGTTGAAAATCCTGTTGTTAATCAGGAGGTGGAAGGTTAAATTCAGTTTCATTCACCTACATGGGCTGACTGGGATTTCGGCAGTTGCTATACAATGAATTATAACAGCTTGCTTTTAGATGCAGGATGTCTTTTACTCTGAATTAAATAAATCCTCAATTGATTGTCTAGGACCTGCCCCCCTCCCCCACCATCCCATTTGGGTGTCTTAGAAGTTTGGTGAACAGGGAAACTTGTTGGTTGATCTTGTGGTCTGTTTTCATAAAGCCTTTGATAGAACCTAGAGAATTTTTCCAGCTTTATGTTAAACTATGCTCTTCTAAAAACCAGAGCCCCTGTGTCTCCTCACTTCTTAGATGCTTGTGCAGTCTTATGTCCAGTGCTCCCCATTCAGAATTCCTTCCCAGAACCACTTTTACTTATTTCCTTGTGCACAGGCATGGGTTTTAGTTTCCAATATTACATCATCTGTTTCATTAGTTACAGTTTAGGTTGATGTCCCTTGGGAGTGTGTTAGCCTCCCTGCTAAGCTTCTAAGCCAAGCTCCAGTTGTAATCAGCAGCATACTTAGGTGTTTACTTCTCAGGAAGAGAGAGGATTCCCCAGATGGCTAATGTCGCCCGTTTTATGTTGGTTCTTAGTAGTTGAGATTGAGAGAATATTCTGACACATTCCAAAATTTTTTGCATCATTTTTACGGTCTACTGTAGGTATAGAAGGCGGTCCTTTTTATCTAGTCACTCCTTTTGAAGTACAGTCTAGTTAAGTACAGGAGGCAGGAGCTTGTACTATTAGTTAGCTCTGAATTCTCTCTCTCCCTCTTCCCCATGCATGTCTCTTGAGACTGTATCTTTAAACTTTTGTGCTTGTTTATTAGAATTTACCATCTCAGTCTCTGCTTCCTCTTCTGCTTGTCTCTTAACCACTTCCTTTGAAAACAGGAAAGAACCGGAGGCTGAAGCAGGCCAAAGAAGAAGCCCAGGCTGAAATTGAACAGTACCGCCTGCAGAGGGAGAAGGAATTCAAGGCCAAGGAAGCTGCGGTGGGCTCAGTTTATTTTCATTTCTGCCTTAGTTTCCTGAGGCTTCCTTCTCCTCCTCTTCCCCTTAGGCTCTCAGAGTATCCAGCGTAGCTCAGAGATTCTGATTCTGGTAGAAATTTGAAAATTTGGTTACTGGATGCTTAGGCTGAATCTCTTAAGGTGATTAATTTTTAAATAACATTTGAATCCTAGTCTTCATTTATTCAGTTAAATTATTGAATTATTAATAGATATAATTAGATATTAAATATAGATAATTTATAGAGATAAGTTATTTAATATATATATTGAATATAGATATTATTAAATATCTTTTGAACAGTTAATGTGTGCCAGATGCTAGAGGATCAGCTGTGAACAGAAATAGACATAGCCCTCATGGAGTTTAGCGAACAGCCTGGTGGTCAGGGACACTTAGTAATAAAGTGTCTGGTGGTCAGGGACACTTAGCAATAAAATGTAAGTCATGCAAACCAACAACTGAAGAGGGCTGTAATGGTCATAAACTTAAATCACATGGAGCCCCACTTTAGTATAGTCACTTGTCAGTAGTATAGGCTAGACCACAATGTGTAAGATGCATATAATAATAGTACAAAAACAGATACAGAAAGTACAGAGAAAGTAGGGAAAATTCTGGAAAAGGGAAAGGATGGAGGAGGCTTCGTCGAGAAAAGAACCTCTATCAGGACTCTTGGATACAGGCAGCAGAAAACAGTTCAAACTGGTTTAAGCAAAATGGAATTTATTGACCTATATGCTTGGAAGCCCAGGTAAAGGCTAAAGTTTTTTGGTTTTTTTTTGTGGTATGCAGGCCTCTCACTGTTGTGGCCTCTCCCGTTGCGGAGCACAGGCTCCGGACGCGCAGGCTCAGCGGCCATGGCTCACGGGCCCGGCCGCTCCGCGGCATGTGGGATCTTCCCAGACCGGGGCACGAACCCGTGTCCCCTGCATCGGCAGGCGGACCCTCAACCACTGCGCCACCAGGGAAGCCCCACTTGGACCTCTTTGAGCCCTGTTTTCCTCAACTGTAGAAAGAGGAGTGATAGTCTCCTCATAGGTTATGGAGGAATAGGTAACAGGTCATATGAGAGAATGCTGTGTAAACTGATGTGTTACACAAATGTGAAGGGATATAGTTGTAAACCTTCATAATGAGGCGACAGCAGTTTAGGTGATGAAAAGATTCAGGCACAAAAAAGTGATACCTTAAGAACCTGATAGATCACATTCTAATAAAGTAGGCATAACAGTTAACAATGAGAAGACAGTGGACAGTAAAAGAAAATCTGTCCATCAGTGTGTGTGTTAAGTTGTAAATGGAAACTGAAGAGGTGAGACATCCATGCACTAAAAATTTCAAGCAATAAAACAGGGCAACAATGAAGGGATAGTTTCCCTCTCACCCAGACCCACAGTCCTCTTTAGAGATAACCACTGTTAACAGTTTCTTGTGTATTCTTGTAGAATATTTCTACTTGAAAGAACAGATGTCACGTATTCTTAATACTGGTGAAACCACTGTTGAACTTAAGGGCTAAAACATTAACCAGTAATGGTGAAACTGTATATTCCTTCTAAATTGTATTGCCCTTGTGTTTGTTATTTTTTAAGAGCTTTTTTTTTTTTTAAAAAAAAAAACACCATGTATCTACCCCCTTTAAAACCACACAAGGAGACATATTACTAACCACCAGGCCTCAGTTGTTAGGTCTTTAGGTTCATTCCAGTCTCTGGTTAAGGCTGCACGTGAGGCTGTAGAGGGATGTGACTGTGGAACCCTGACTTCTCTCACGCTCTTCAGTCATGCTGCTGATTACTTATATTCATTATGAGACTGGGTTTCTTCAAAAGTCAGAACGTTGCTTATTAAATGTTGTTCCTGCCCAGCCAGAGCATTGTCCTGACGTTCCCTCTGTCATTGCTCCCCGACTCCAGGCTCTGGGATCCCACGGCAGTTGCAGCACTGAAGTGGAGAAGGACACCCAGGAGAAGATGACCATCCTTCAGACCTACTTCCGGCAGAACAGGGATGAAGTCCTGGATAACCTCTTGGCCTTTGTCTGTGACATCCGGCCAGAAATCCATGAGAATTACCGCATAAACGGATAGGGGAAGAGCAAAAGCGCTGTGCTGTGGATTGGCATTTTAGATGCCTTCATAGAATATGAGGCTTCAACAAGGCTTGGGTTATATTCTTGTGAAAAGGCATTAAATTATTTCTGTATATTATATAATAGGTCCCTTCACTTTTTGCAGAATAGCAATCATAGTTTCTTTGTACAAACTTATGGCCTATCCAAAGATTTTATCTTTTTACCTCACATTTCTTAGAAACTTAATGGGTATATATTGTCTGTTTTCCTGTGCCTTTTCGCTCGAGTGGCATATTATGAACACTGACTTTTTCTTTCTTAGATATAGTTTTGTTTTTTCTTTTAATTTTATGTCATAGCTTTATGTTGCAACTCTACTTGTTCAAAAGTTAGATCATGAAGGTTCCTTCCTATGACCTTAGATATAGTTTAAAAAAAAACAATTTTCTTAAGAAAGAAAGGGATTAAATTTTTTTTTTTTTTCCCTAACTCTTTCTTGAAGGTCAGGGGCTTTATCTATGAAAAAGTAGTAAATAGTTACTTGTAACCTATGTGAACAGCCAGCCTTAAAATAGTCCTTTCCGGCTAAGAGTTAGAACAGTGGGGACTAGTATTGGGCTGCTTTTGGTTTCTCTTATTTAAAATTACTAGATGATAGAATTCAAGAACTTGTTGCATGTCACTACTTGGTGTACTGATACTGTACGAATAATCATTTAAAAGTCAAGACTCTGTCATGCATATTTTTCCCCTCTGCTTCATCCTCTTTGATAATGCAAGATGAACTTTGACCCAGATGTTCTGCAGAATTTCACTAAGGAAATTAAATTAGCACATGTATCACACACATTCACATACACACTTAGAAAATATTCATGGTGCATATCTTAGCAGGAAGGAAATCACTTCCTTGGGTGATTTCACCCAACAACTGTTTTGAAAAACAGCAAGCAGGGGACTTCCCTGGTGGTCCGGTGGTTAAGAATCCACCTTCCGGGGCTTCCCTGGTGGCGCAGTGGTTGAGAGTCCGCCTGCCAATGCAGGGGACACGGGTTCGTGCCCCGGTCCGGGAGGATCCCACATGCTGCAGAGCGGCTGGGCCTGTGAGCCATGGCTGCTGAGCCTGCGCGTCCAGAGCCTGTGCTCTGCAAACGGGAGAGGCCACAACAGTGAGAGGCCCGCATACCGCAAAAAAAAAAAAAAAAAGAATCCACTTTCCAATGCAAGGGACAAGGGTTCGATCCCTGGTCAGGGAACTAAGATCCCACATGCCGCGGAGCAACTCAGCCATTGCTCCGCAGCTACTGAGCCTGTGTGCTCTGGAGCCTGCTCGCCCTAATGAAGACTCATCACAGCCAAAAAATTAAAAAAAAAAACCACACACACACACAAAACAGCAAGCAACTAGTAGATCTGAAGTTTGCCTTTTCTCTAGAGCACCCTGTCCTGGGGCAGCCTTGGACAGGTTATCAAGCGTGTTTCCTTCCTGGTGGGCTAAATGCTGAGTGCAGTACCTATAGTAACTTCACTCTAGCACTTAAGAATTAAATGCCCTCTGGACTTCCCTGGTGGCACAGTGGTTAAGACTCCGCTTGCCAATGCAGGGGACAGGTTCGAGCCCTGCTCTGGGAAGATCCCACATGCCGTGGAGCTACTGAGCCTGCGCTCTAGAGCCTGCCTGCTACAACTACTGAAGCCCACGCTCCTGGAGCCCATGCTGTGCAGCAAGCGAAGCCACCACAACGAGAAGCCCACGCACCGCAAAGTAGAGTAGCCCCCGCTCGCCACAACCAGAGAAAGCCCGCGCAGCAACGAGGACCAACGCAGCCAAAAATAAATTTATATTAAAAAAAAATGCCCTCTGGCCCACTAGAAGCTGAAAGTCTTCCGCTGCAAGATAATTTCTGGTACGTGGAAACAATTGAAAGAACGTTGTGCTGAAACTACGGGGGAATTAGAGGGCCTTTTAAAAAATTGTATCTTTTATGTGACTGAGGATGGGTGGATCTCAGGCCACTTCCGTCTCTAGTTGCTGTTCCCTCTCACAGAATTCCTCATAAGAATTTTCTATACAAGCTTTTCCATTTTTTACTGTTCAGGCACTCCAGTCAGGCTTGCCATGCCATTGAAACTGCTTGCTCGTCAGGGTCAGCAATGATGACCTAGTTGGGGTCCAATCCTCTGCCTGCTTGACCTTCAGTATCATTGGACAGGGTTGGCTATTCCTTTTTGAGCCACTTTCTTAGCCTCCCTTCTGCAGCCGTGTGCTGCCTTGCCTCTCCAGTCTCTTGCTGGTTCCTCCGCATCTTTTCCTGTGGTTTTGCTCTTGTGTGTCTCTACGTCCCCATTTGAGACCATCTACATTTTATGGCTTTGATACCATCTGTATTGAAGACCCAAATTTATCTCCAACTGTCCTGAACTCTAGAATTCTCAGATTGTTTATTTGATATTTTCATTCAGTTATCTGGTAAGCATCTCGATCCTAATATGTCCCAAACGATACCTGATTTTGTTAGGACTTTACTCCTGGTATTGCTAAGTGTATCCAGACCACGGTCAGCAGTGTCCTTGACTTCTACCCACTGGATGCCAGTAGTACCCTGTCAGTTGTGACAACCAAAAATGTCCCCAGACGTGGTCAAATGTCCCCTGGGGATCAAAACCACCCAGTTGACAACTACTGTTAAAGCAACAACAAAATTATTGAAAGTACCACACGATCCCTGGAACATTCTAGGTACTCAAAAATTGTGTCCTAATTTTCCAAAATTTGGTTCTCCTTTTCTCACCCTAATCATCCTTGATTATATGTCTAATAATAGCTCTTACTTGTTGGTATAGGATATACTCTGAAGTCTCAGTGGCTTAATGCAACAAAGATTCCTTACAATGTTTGATACATGTTGGGTGACCAAGGCAGCTGTTCTCCATGTGGTGAGGCAGTGATTCAGATCACCTCCACTTTGTGGTTCTACCATTTTAGCACATGGTTCCCATGATTCCAGAGGCAAGGGAAGAAAAAGTTGGCAAACGTGCACCAGCTCGTCTGTGCTTACGTCCTGAAATGAATGACATTTGTTCTCAGCTCATTGACCCTCGTGCATCACGTGAGCCAACCTAACTGCAAGGGAGGCTAAGAGATGAGGCAGATCCTGTGGTTATTTGATGAGTAAAAAATCTCTGTTTTAATTGCAAACAGTAGCTTTCTCCATGCCAGCTAGTGACCACGTGCATTGTTCACGAGCAAGAATATTTTGAAAGGCATCTTTTTTCCCCAAGTAGTGGGTCTCAACAGTGGGTTTCAAATGTTCGGTAAACCATGTTGTAAACAAATGTGCTGTCATCTAGGCTTTGTTCTATTTATAGAGCACAGGCAGAGTAGATGTAGCACAGTTCTTCAGGGCCCTAGGATTTTCAGAGTGGTCAGTGAACATTGGCTTCAACTTCAAGTCACCAGCTGCATTAGCCCCTAATAAAAGAGACTGTCCTTTGAAGCCAGGCACTGACTCCTCTCTAGCTATGAAAGTCCTAGATGGCATCTTCTTCCAACATAAGACTGTTCTGTCTACATTGAAAACCTGTTGTTTAGTGTAGCCACCTTCATTCATTATCTTAGCTGGATCTTCTGAGTAACTTGCTGCAGCTTCTACATCAACAATTACTGAATCATGGAGATGGCTTCCTTCCTTAAACCTCACGAACCAATCTCCACTAGCTTCAAACTTTTCTCTGCAGCTTCCTCACCTCTCTCAGCCTTCACAATTATACAGAGTTAAGGCCTTGCCCTGGATTAGGCTTTGGTTTTAGGGAATATTGTGGCTGGTTTGATCTTCTATCCAGACCGCTAAAAACTTTCACCAGGGACTTCCCTGGCGGTCTAGTGGTTAGGACTCTGAGCTTCCACTGTAGGGGCCCCGGGATCGATCCCAGGTTGGGGATCTAAGATTCCGCAAGCTGCACAGTGCAGCCAAAAATAAATAAAAATTGTAAAAAACCAAAGTATTTCTTCTGGTTTTGACCCAGTTTCCTGACAAATAGCATGTGACTTGTCTAACTCCCTGCACATCCCTGCCAAGGACAGTGGTGTGTCTAGGCCCAAGCTTTCGCGTGCACATCTTACAGGGGAGTACTCACTGTGTGATGTGACTCTCAGGATTTCGAATCAATGTAATGGAGCCAGGAGCAATGGAACGTACTGTGGGGCGTGCTTTTGGAAATACTCTTTAAGATGGCTCTAATTAGTGGCCAAGCCTAGATTTGAACCCAGATCTGCCTGACTTTCCAGCCTGGGTTGCTGTATGATTTAGTTCAGTGTGTTCTATGGCAGTGTTTCAAGCAGTGTGTTTCTAAAAGAGAAAGTCAATGACTCTACAACTGGCAGACAGGTTCCAAAAAACAAGATCTAATTTTTGATCTTTGCCTTTTCACTTACTCATCCCATGGTTCTGAGGCTCTCTCCTGTCCTGTCTGCTGCCACACTTGAAGATTCTTCCAGGCCAGGAAGAAGTTCTTTCCCTCTTGCTTCACCAAGGTTGCCAGCTAGTTGGCAGCTAACCCTCAGACATGGGCCTGTAACCCTTGCAAACATGACAGGACGAAGGGGCTAAATGCTGAGTAAGGGTGGCTTTGGCTGGGGTTTGTGGTTATTTGGATTTGTCTGTAGTTGAGGCCCTGATAATTTCATTCATGGCCATTCATTCACTAACTCAGATGTGTGTAACAATAGCTGGGGGCCAGCTCTGAGCATGGGCAGAAACAGCCCTGTGCCCCAAAGGTTTATTCTCCTTTTGGGAAAGGGGACACTGAACATTGACCATAGCGAGTGCTAGGTGTGGCCATAGGTTAAGGAAGAGTAACTATAAGGATGGGGGACTGGCCTGGGCTCAGGACAGGAGAGGGCTCCTAGAAGAAGGGCCCTTTCAGCTGAGACCTGAGAATGTGTCAGTTATCTGGGCAACGAGGTGAGGATGAGGTTTGAGGGTTACCTTCCAGAGGGAGAAGGATGGCAACCACTGAGAACTGGAAGTGAGAGAGAGCACAGGTGTAGGAGGAACGAGAGATGGTCTGTGCTCTTGGAGCTTAGGGTTTTCAGAGGTTGGGGGACAGCAGGTAAAGATGAGTACAGGATAGGCTGGGGGGTGGGGAGGGGCTTGGGCCTACCACAGAGAGCCTTGTGAATCCATCAAGATAGCGCCACTGAAGACTGCTTTCCAGTGGACTTTACTAGGTATTACTCACCTTTTATCAGATTTCATTCATCTTTCTCCATTCTCCATGGAGCCCCCATTCCCTCACGCCATAGTGCTAGGCCTTGCCATTTACTGTATTTTCGGAGATGCAAAAGAATTGCCCAGAAATGCAGTTCACTTTTTTCTTTTTTTAAAATTTACATATGGCTGCATTGGGTCTTCGTTGCTGCACAAGGGCTTTCTCTAGTTGTGGCGAGCGGGGGCTACCCTTCGCTGCGGTGCGCGGGCTTCTTGCGAGCCACAACTACTGAGCCCTCGTGCCACAACTACTGAGGCCCGTGCGCCTAGAGGCCATGCTCCGCAACAAGAGAACCCACCACAACGAGAAGCCTGCAGTTCACTTTTACTCAGCACTTTCTGCTAAGCACTTCATCATCTCATTTAATTCTTAAAATCTCTCAGTTTAGCAGATATCCTTTTTTTTTTTTTTTTTTTTTTTTGCAGATATCCTTTTATAAATGAGGGAATTGAAACTCAGAGAGGGGAACTGGGCTGTGCAAGTTCACATACCAGTGAGTGGTGGAGCCTGGTCAGCCAGTTCCAAAGGTCCACGTCTTTTGCCTCCTTAGCAAAGGAGGCTGATGTGTCAACATTCAAGCTAGAGAGACAGGCAGTGAGAACGCAGAGTGAAGGTAGCTCAGCTGAAAGGGCAGGAGTATGACATCTGGCTTCATGTAGGAGGTAGGCCTTGCTGGGGAGGCAGGATTTATTTATTTATTATTTTAAAAAAATTTAAACCTATTTTAATTTATTTATTTTTGCTGTGTTGGGTCTTCGTTTCTGTGCGAGGGCCCTCTCCAGGTGTGGCAAGCGGGGGCCACTCTTCATCGCGGTGCGCGGGCCTCCCACTTTCGCGGCCTCTCTCGTTGCGGAGCACAGGCTCCAGACACGCAGGCTCAGCAGCTGTGGCTCACGGGCCCAGTTGCTCCACGGCATGTGGGATCCTCCCAGACCAGGGCTTGAACCCGTGTCTCCTGCACTAGCAGGCAGATTCTCAACCACTGCGCCACCAGGGAAGCCAGGGAGGCAGAATTTAGATGGTCACCAGTTCACACACCTGTCCCAGGATCCCTTTCAACATCCAGTCAGCAGGTAGGAGAACTCCAACAGCCCATGAATCTTGCTCCCATGCCCCCAGATTGTGTTTTGGGAAATTAGGCAAACTAAATAGAGATCTTGTGTGTCTTGCTCAGTGGTACCCAGAACAATGGCTGGCACTCGGCAGGCACTCGGTGTCGATCTTTTGATGAATAAATGAATAAACTAATTTTTAGTAGCCTGCTTCCTGGATGCTCACTTGTCTGATGAATGAGGATCCTGCCTGGGCAGCATCAGCTGCTTATTCCTCAATCACTGCTCTGCTCGTGTCCCCAAGCACTCCACCTCTGCCTCTGGCAGAGCATGAAGACAGCTATATCTGCCTAAATTAAAATTGCACCCATATTCTGACTCGGCAAGTCCACTTGTAGATAGGCAGCCTGTGGCATGTACCCGGCACTGTGGCTATGACCATCCCAGCAAGGCCTGTGAGCAAGAGTGGGAATTCCCCTTACATGTCCACGAGCGGAGAGAGGCAAAGGAAAGAAAGCCTTCCTATTACAATACATGGAGGTGTGTGCGCACCCCTTAAAAAGAAACCAGACAGAGAGGAGTGTTCTGGCATGAGGTGAATGCCAAGGAACTTTGCTGAATGAAAAAGCAGGGTGTCCAACAGAATAGAACAGGTTCCCTTTTGTGGAAATGCACAGTGTACACACCTGTCTATACCTTTCTATGGAAATGTACGCAAGGTTAGTGCTTTTCTCAGGGAAGGGGTTAGTTGTCACTGTAGACACCCCTGAAGTCTCGAGTGATGGTGCTGGGGGTGGCAGCCAACGTCTAGTGAGCGGCCATCATGTGTCCTGCAGTTGTGTACACTTCACACCAATTATCTGATTAGAGCTTTACACAATCCCATGAAACAGTATCATCTGTTGTTTACAGAAAACTAAGGCACAGAGAGGTTAAACACTATAGCGAAGATGACCTAAAATACGGAGACACCTGGCTTAGAGCTCAGGGAGCCTGATCCCCAAACCGATGCTGTTAACACAGTGCACATATAACTTTTCATTAAAAAACAAGTCCCTAAGAAATTTCTGGTCCAAATATTTCTTCATCCACCGGGTCCCATGACTGTCAGACATGGGCTGGACCTCAGAGGCAAGCCGCTGCTCTCACGACGGGGAGACGGAGGCTCCGAGGGGGGTTGGAACTCTTTCCGTCCGGGGCGCGGAGACCCCCCTCGCCCCCGCGCCCCAGAAGCGACGTGCGTGGTCGGCGAGCGCCGGGGCGCTTCCCGGCGTCCCGGGAGGGAGCCCGGCTTATGAAAGGCAGCTCCCAGCTCGGTTCCGAAGCGGGTCCGGGAGCCGGCTTCCCTCTGGGCCCCGAGGCGAGCCCGGCGGGCGGCTCCTCCCGGTGGGGTGACCGCGCGGGGCCGCCCCGGCCCGGGGGCGGGACCCGGGAGGGCGGCGCGCGGCGCGGGCGGCGGGCGGAGCGCGGGCAGAGGTGCCCCGAGGCTGCGGCGTTGTGGGGCGGCGGCGCCGCCCGACCTTCGGCGTCCCCGGGACCCCCGGGCGGCGGTGAGGCGGCGACGGCGGCGCGGACGGGTGAGTGTGCGCGGGCCCGGGGCGCGCCCCCTGTGTTTGCGCGCGGGCCCGGGCGCGGGCGGCCGCGAGCCCTGATTTGAGGCGCGCGGGTCCCGTGCTGCCGCTGGGCTCCCGTGTCTTGGTCTGGGGTGGGCGCCGCGGGCCGCGTCCGCGTTCTTCCTGCGCCTTTGGGCCCCATTTCCCTCTGTCGTGCGTGGGAGCTGCTCTCGGGCGGCTCCTGGGAGCCGGTGGGCTTGGGACAGTGGGAGTGATTTCAGGGTGAGGGAGGCCCAGAGGCAGCAGACCCGGGAGGAGACTTGAGGGCAGAACCTGAAGCTAGACTCAGCTGCCCAAGGCCAAGGCCAGATGCGGCGGAGCATCCCTTGCCCGAATGAGCTCGGTTCCGTTGTGGCTCCATCCCCCACCTGGCTCCTTGACCTTGGAGAGTTCACTTTCGTTTCTGGGTCTTAATTTTCTCATGTGGAAAGTGGAGAGCTTGGAGCCATTGTCTCTCAAGGCTTTTCCACCGCAAAACGACTGTGACAGACCCTCTGTGGTCCCTTGTTGGGACTTGCCAGTTTAACAAAATGAAACCTGACTTGTGAAAACTGTAGGAGTCCCCTTCTCCCCCAACACACACGAAGGCACACATGCACACCCCTCAGTGAGGCACAGGGCCTCCTGGGGAAGCTGGGCACTCAGTGTCTGCAGAAATGGAGACCTTTGCTCAGCGGGACTTTTAGGATATCTTCCTTTGCAGAGGCTTGCCACTCAGCTCAAAAAGATGGATAACTGGAAGGTCTGGTTAAGTGGAATCAGCAGTGGGAGTTAAGGAAGCTGGGGAGTGGATGACCTGTTAGTTACAGGAACCTCAGGGCTGTGCTCGCTCCCTGGCTCTGACTCCACCCCTGGTGCCTCTCCCTCCCTCCCTTGTCCCCTAGGGCTAGTGCAGGGCTGAGTGGGGTGGCAGGTCAGGACACACTGATGGGTGATGGGTCAGCACCTGCCCTTGGCCAGTCTTGCCAACAGCCCTCGTGCCCTCTGCAGCCTCCAGGTTGGATGAGGAGCTGCAGGGTGAGTGCACAGGCTGCCCTGATTGGGCCCATCCTGGCCTCTGGTTTGTACCTCTCCCTACTTGGTAGCCCCTTCTCTTGCTCTACCTTTGCCAAGCCAGGAGCCTCTTTCCCTGCTCCAAGAAGCCTCCTGAAACACTCTTCCCTCATTCCAAGGCGCTGCCGGCTCCCTCTGACTGCCTTCTTTGGTCATTGTCTGTTTGTTATTTCTCTTTCTCTGAGTTTCTCTTTCCCACCAGATGGTGGTACCCAGCAGGGAGGGCTGAACAGGGACTTAAGATTTTATTTCTGGTTTTATAGTTTAGAAAGCACAGGGCCTGGCACTAGAAGGTTCTTAGGGAGTGTCTGTGGAGTAAAAATAATGATTGCTATATTCCTTTTTGCCCCGTGCTGCTCTCGAGTGATTCAGGTATGAATTCTTTAAACCTCACAACAGCCTCGTTACATTATTCCCATTTACATGTGTAGAAACTGAGGCAGGTACAAGTCACTTGCTCCAGGTCGTACACGTGGGAAGTGGCAGGACTGTGCAGGTTGCTTTTATGCATTATGCTAAATGCCCTTCAGGTGAATGAATTCTCCTGGTTGGGACTTTGTGGAGGCTAATTGGGCCAACTGGGGTGCTGGGATTTCTTCTTCCCAAAGACAATGTCTAGTTGTGGGATTTTGCAGCTAATGAACCTTCCATGCAGTCTGGAAGGATGTCTGTGCAGCCCCAGCTTGTGGGTGGTCCCTCCTGCCTGGAGGAGGGAGGGTGGGCTCAAGGACCTTTCTGAGATTCCAGTACAGCTTCTCCGGGCAGCAGGTTCCTAGCTATGATGTCCCTGGGTTCCTGGTCTGGAAAATGGATCCAAAGATTCTGTTTGTCTCCTGGGCCTAGGATATAATCAGGTGAGGCAGCAAGGGCCTCAGTTATTGCCAAGTGCAGGGCAGACATCCTTGGGCTGTTGTTGCTTTCATGCCTCTTGGGGGGTACGAGATAAGAAGGAGGAAGTAAGGGGTGATATGACTGACCGGTACTCAGTGATATTTGGGAGTGCCTGCTGTGCGCCAGGCTTGGGCTAGGTAAGGGGAGGTGGTCCCTGCCATCCCACAGCTTGGCAGTTCAGATGCCAACTGGAGCTTGTTACTAGATCACACCTGGGAAATGCAGTCTCCCTCTACCCAGTCTTTTTTTTTTTGTGGTATGCGGGCCTCTCACTGTTGTGGCCTCTCCCGTTGCGGAGCACAGGCTCCGGACGCGCAGGTCCAGCAGCCAAGGCTCACGGGCCCAGTCGCTCCGCGGCATGTGGGATCTTCCCAGACTGGGGCACAAACCCGTGTCCCCTGCATTGGCAGGCGGACTCTCAACCACTGCGCCACCAGGGAAGCCCGACCCAGTCTTTTTTAAGGCGGTTTAAGGAGGAGGCTCAGCGATAGCCAGACCTGGGTGCTGAGGTTCAGGGGCATGGGCATGAGGGGCTTGTATTCTGCAGCTGGATAGCCTGGTCCATCTCCTGTCTCCACAGCTCCCAGCCATCCCACCTTGGGCAGGTCATGTCACATCTTTGACCCTGTTAAATGGGAGAAACCTGTGAGGAAATGGGCCTTATGGTGAGCAGGGTACTGGATGCCATACTTATGTTTCCTTGTGTTACCCCCACAGCAGCTATGCCAGATAGGCCTCCCTGAACCCATTTTACAGATGAGGTCAGAACGGCTCAGGGAGTTAAGTACCTGACAGTGAATGTCCCAGAGCATGTGAGGGCTGAGTGAAGGTTCAAATCTAGGTCTTTTGGTGCTAAAATCCTTGCTCTTTTCTTTTCATAACATTCTGCTGCTTTGTATAAACACGGCTCCCCATGATGAATATACCTATCCTGTACTCAGTCAGGAAGGGACATCCCAGATGCCTGGGAGTGGGGCCTGGTCAGCTCGTGAGTTCTCTGTGGGTCCCTCGATGTGTCTGAGCTGGAGAAGGTCCCAGAGCAGAGGAGGTCTCAGCCGAGACCTTGAAGGGTTTCAGCCCTTGCCCCTCACTCCCTCTGAGGACGTTCCTCAGCACGATCAGCAAATTCACAGTCCAAGGGAAGACTCTGGGTGGCTCTCACTGGTCTGGTGATGGCTTTGGCCTTGAGAGCCTGAGGAGCCTGGCCTGCCCAGGACCAGGCCTGAAGTTCTTTCTCGTGATGTTGTTTTCTGAAGGCAGGCGAAGCTGAGCTGGCTGCTCCAGGATGCACCACAGCTCTGAGAAGGGGAAGCAGAAATCCTGCTGGCTCTGCTATGGCGTGTGAACCGCAGATGGACCCCGGCGGGGCGGCTGGCCCCTTGCCCACCTCCTCCCCTGGGTGGAGCGCCCTGCCTGGCGGGAGCCCTCCTGGCTGGGGGCAAGGTAGGATCATGACCCTTAATTCCTTCCTCCCCTATCCCCCCAGGATGCTGAACTGGACTCACATAGTATGATTGAGGGGAGGGGAGCGGAGGGGCACAAAAGTGTCTTTAGATAAGAGCGGGCATTTGGGGATGTGTTTCCAGGCCACTTTCTGTCATTTCTACCTCTTCTCTCTGTCACCAACTCCTTAGATTGCCCTCTGCCAGGATCCCTGCTGTAGCTTTCTAGCACCTTTCCTCCTTGCCTCTTCTGTTCTCTGCATGGTGTCTCAGAGAGATTTTTAAAAATGCACAGCCAACCAAATCGCTTTCTGTTTCAGTGTTTCCCATTAGGCTTAGCATGAAGATCTATCATTCTCCAGCTTGCCAGGCCTGCCTAAATGGCTCTTGCTGCCCCTGTTCTCTGTTCCTGCCATGCTGCCCTGCCCCAGGACCTTTGCACCTGCTGTCCCTGCTGTGTGTTATGCCCTTTCCCTGCCTCCTTTTCCCTGCTTAATTTCCATCCATCCTTCAGAGCTAAGTTCAGATATCCCTTCCATGGGGAATCCTCTCCTGATGGCCCAGCCTAAGCCGGGACCCTCTGATATATTCCTGTTTCTCCCTATAGCAATTACCAGTCTGTAATTAAATAATTACCTGTGTAATAAAGTGTTGAATGTCCAGTTTCCTCACTAGAATGTAAGCTCCACGAGTGCAGGGTCCCTGTTTTGCTTTGTTCATCACTGTGTCTATAGTACTTAGCACATGGCTTGGCCCATAGTATTATTATTTTTAAAATTTTATTATTATTTATTTTATTTATTTATTTTTCACGGCATTGGGCCTTTGTTGCTGTGTGCAGGCTTTCTCTAGTTGCGGTGAGCGGAGGCTACTCTTTGTTGCAGTGTGCGGCCTTCTCATTGCAGTGGCTTCTCTTGTTGCAGAGCACGGGTTTTCGGCACCCGGGCTTCAGGAGTTGTGGCTTACAGGTTCTGGAGCGCTGGCTCAGTAGTTGCGGCGCATGGGCTTAGTTGCTCCGCGGCATGTGGGATCTTCCCAGACCAGGGCTCGAACCCGTGTCCCCTGCATTGGCAGGCGGATTTTTAACCACTGCACCACCAGGGAAGCCCTTTGCTCATAGTAGATGCTCAATAAGTATTTTGTTGAATGAATGAATGAGTGGCTGGGCATAGGCAAGGGGAGATGGCATTTTGCATTGTGGCTTGTTTCTTAGATGATTTAAAACTTAAAAACAAGGGTTCCTTTTATGACTACTGTTATTAGGAAAGCAGTTCACATACACACATACCCGTAGAATGAAATGGAATGGAATAATTTACCTTCAGCTCTTTGAAGATATAGCTCTACTGGTTTTTGGCAAGCCAGTTCTTGCCCCTTTATAGGAAATAGCTCCCTGTACACACACACACACACACACACACACACACACACATACACACACACACACACACACACACACACACACACACGCTTCTTTGGTAGCTTTTTAGATCCTTTTTCTTAGCCTAGGTGTAAAAACAAGTATTTCTAAGTGGAGGACTTGCAGTTCTCACGTTGAGGAGCAGATGAGAGAGATTATTACCAAGAATCCAGGAACTCATGGTTTGAAAGGGAAACAGAGACACTATGAAAAGTCCTCACATTGCTCAGGCAAACACTGTCCTCATAGTGCAAAGAGCCAGGCTAGGGGAGTGGTTCACAACCTCCATGCCTGGGATCCAGCTCAGTGTGTGTTTTCTGCTCTGTGCTGTGCAGCGGAGGGCTAGTCTGAGGCTCCGCACAGCATGACTGCCTGCATTTTGTATGCTACCCTTTCTCTTCACTTCTTCTCTTCTTACTTTCATTTCCCCTGGTACCACCAGGCAAGCTGGTTCTCCTTTCCGAGGTTCAGTTTCCTTTTCCATTGTAATGGTTTTCCACCTTCTAGGAGTCTTGGAGGATTAAATGGAATCACGACTGTGAGCCTAAGCCCGTGCCTGGTGCATAGGATGGGATCAGTCCCTGGAAGCTATTCTTATCGCATTTTATTGTTCTATTTTATTTTGGTCTTGATCTTCTTTTTGTCTGTTTTCCCTCATTTGCTTATTTTTAAATCTAATTTTATCTTTTCATATTTTATTTTATGAAGCCACCTTAAATCCTTTCTGGAACAAGGTGTGGGAAGGTAAAAACCAACACAGCTCAACTGGTGTGCCTTTATGGTAACTTAGGAGCTTTGACAAGCTGGCTTTTAAATTATGACAACGGTAGCAGCCAGTCATTCAGTACCCATTTTGCACCAAGCGCTTAATTTTCATCATCTTAATTATTTGCAAAATCCTCCGCGGTGGATATAATCATCCTCTAAGGGGATGGCCAGGGATTAAATTGTTTCTTCAAGGTGCTCTGTTAGTGAGAGGCTGAGTTACCATTTGAACCCCAAAGCATCTAGCTTGTGCTTTCCCCACCTCATTTATACAGGAAGCATTTATTTAGTGCCTACTGTACACCTGGCACTGAACCCAGCTCAGGGGATTCAATGATGTGCAAAACCAATGTGGGAGTATATAGTCTGATGGAGACAGTGGACTTTAATCAAGTAATTGCATACACATGTGCTCATCTTTGATAAGCATAGAGGAGGAGAGCATGTAGTTATGGGCAGGTTTATCAGACAGATTTGATCTGCTATGAGTTTAGAATGTCAGGGAAGACTTCCTGGGCAAGGGATTAATGAGCTGGAACACAAATGATGACTTGGATATAACGGAGTGAGGCTAGGTGGATGTGTTCTAGGGAGAGAGCCGGAAGAGCATGCACAAAGGCCCTGGGGTGGGAGAGAACACTACACGTCCAAGGGACTAAGGAGGCTGGGGTGGCAAGACACAGAGTGAGGCTGAGGCTTCAAGGTGAGCTTGGCAGGAGGCTAGTTCTTCGAAGGGCCGGGGGAGCTTGGTAAGGAGGTTGCTTTTTGCCAGAGGACTGGGAGGCTCTTGAAAGTTTTACTCAGAGAATTTGTATTAATCTGATCTGTGCTCTGGCTGCTGTGTGAATGCATCATAAGAGGAAGAGCAGGTTGGAGAAACCAGTTAGGAGACTACGGCAGGGAGAGGTGAAGGGAACCTGGCCTAGGGTTGTGGTGAAGATACTAAGGGGTGCACGGAGCTGGGAGAGATTTTGTTGGCCCAGGTGGCAGGGCCCAGGGATGGACGGGGTGAGGGGTTAGAGGAGCGTTTGGGTGGGCCAGGGATTCCCAGGAAGGTAGAGCTAGTCATTTTGCTTTAAGACTCAGGGATTAACCCCGAGCTGGGCACTGAGCCAGCAGGTAACATGTTCATGGTTTAATCCCTTCAGTCCTGCCTCCTTTTCTGAGCAACAGCTACAGAAAACATGCTGAAATATTCAGCTCCCAGCCCTGCGTGGCTGAACGCTGGGATCCTAGCCTCTCAGGGCTGGACTACCCTGCAGCAGCTGCCCTGGCTGCTCTCTGGTGGCTCCCTGGGCCTCATACGTGATGGAAGGAGATCTCGGTCCTTCTGTTCAGAGTTTCTCTACTCAGAAGGGAAGTTGGTTTGGCTTCTTTCTGCTGCCCTTCCTCCCTGGACCCGAGGGGATTTCACTGTAGCTGGCCTCCCTCGGGTCTCCTGGTCTGGCTTCATTGCAGCCCTGCAGGGCATCCTCGAATAAATTTGATAGCCATTGTGACAAGCCTGAGATGATATGTGTTTTTGAGGTATGACTTCACTTGATATATGCTTTTAAAATGTTGAGCGAGTGCAGAGACACTGGGGAGGGCTTGCCCGTAAGTCAGCGGATTCGTTTTCTGTGACTGTTGTAACAGGTGCCACTAACAGTGGTTTAGCAAATGCAGTTCTTCTCTTACAGTTCTGTAGGTTAGAAGTCTGACACTGGCCAGACTGTCGGCTCACAACCTGACAGCCCTGGTCAGCAAGGCTGCATTCCTTTAGGAAGCTCCAGCGGAGAATCTGTTTCCTTTTCTTTTCCAGCATCTAAAGGCCACCCACAGTCCTTGGCTGCTGAAGCCTTCTGCCATTTGTTTTTTTAAATTTTATATTTATTTATTTACTTGGCTGCGTCGGGTTTTAGTTGTGGCGTGCAGGCGGCACACGGGCTTCTCTCTAGTCGTGGCGCGCGGGCTCTAGAGCACTTGGGCTTAGTTGCCCCGTGGCATGTGGGATCTTAGTTCCCCGACCAGGGATCGAACCCGCGTCCCCTGCATTGGAAGGCGGATTCTTAACTATTGGACCACCAGGGAAGTCCCCTTCCGCCATTTTAAAGCCAGTAATGTTCCATCTCTCTGTACCTTTCTTCCGTAGTCACATTCCTCCTGGCTCTTCTGCTGCCTCCCTCTTCCACTTCTTTTTTTTTTTTTGCTGCGCTGAGTGGCATGCGGGATCTTAGTTCCCTAACCAGGGATCGAACCTGTACCCTCAGCAGTGAAAGCGTGGAGTCCTAACCACTGGACCGCCAGGGAATTCCCTCTCTTCCACTTTTGAGGATCCTTGTGATTACAGTGGGCCCACCCAGATAATCTAGGATAATCTCCCTATTTCAGGCCAGCTGATTAATACCATTGAGTTCACCTGCAACCCCCATTCTCCTTTGCCGTGTAAGATAACGTATTCACAGGTTCTGGGGGTTAGGGTGGGGACATCCTTGGGGGTTCACTGTTGTGCCTACCACATTGTTACCTCTTACTTAGACTCCGAGCCCACCAGGGATGTAAGTTGTTTGGTTGCACTTCCTTTGCCATCCTCGAATAAATGTCTGCTGGATCATCTCCTCAGTGTAATTAGTTGTTCAATCTCTGTTTAAATATCCCTTGTGAGCGGGAGCCCACTACCTCCCAGACTTTGTGTGGACAGAGCTCACATTCTTGAGAAGTTCTTCCTTTGATGGTCTCAAATAATGTCCTAAAAGCCTCCGGCCTCAGTTCTGTCTCCTGGGAGCTTTCCAGTCAAGTCCAGTCCTTCTCCCATAGGAGTTGGAGGATGGCAAGTCCCTCCTTGCCATGAGAATGTTCTCAAGGCCAGAGGAGGTGATGCCGTCAAGGTCTGGGCTCACCCAAAGTCCTTATTGCTCAGCCCGATGAAGCTCCTGGTCTGCTTTCAGAGCTCCACAACGGCCAGGTCCTCACAGTTCTCCGGATTGACAATACCTGTGCACCCATCTCCTTCGATCTGGGAGCCGCCGAAGAACAACTGCAGACCTGGGGCATTCAGGTGAGCACTGACTTTATGGAGTCCTTAGTACTTTTTCTTCTATCCATCCATCCATCCATCCACCTGTCTGTCCGTCTATCTATTCTATCATCCAATTATTCACAACATTTTTATTAAACACCTACCCTGTGCTCAACATGGTAGGGAATATAAGGAAGATATCCTCTCCTTCCAATTAATTTACTTAACAGATGTGTGTTTTGGGGTGTCCACCCTGTGCTGGCCACTTAGGTGGTCACTGAGTACTACAGAGGTGACTAGGTCCCCGTGCCTGGTGTCACACTGCTCACAGAGCCCAGTGGGTGAGACAGACATGCGTCAGGTAAAGCAGAACAGTATGGTATAAGTGCTGCAGTAGAGGGATGCACAAGACATTGAAGACATTCACAGGAGAAAGTGATAAACTCAGCTCAGGGAGCAGTGGTTATGAAAGTGTCCGCCTTAAAACTAAAGCAGCCCGTTATTATACTGGCAAAATGGGTTTATTCGGTAATAGCAGAAAGTTGCAATTCGGGACAGGCATGCCATAGTAAAAACTGGGCAAGTCTGGAGAAACGAAGGAAAGGACTGTTGTTTTATAGAGGTTAAAGAGAAGTTGGGAGGGGCTCTTGTAAACAAGGAGGCCAGTGGGGGAAACTGGGGGTTCCAAGTGTAGTGGCTTTTCATTGGCTGAGTTGTGACAGCCTCTGGTTGGCTGGGCTATTGCCAGGCGAGGAGAAAATCTTCCTCCTGCTGAGGTAGTAAAAGGCAGAAACCGACCTTCTTCCTGTTGGAGATGCAAGGTGATTCTCTTCGCGTTTGGAGTCTGCGGATGACAATGAGTGGTAGGGCATGAGAGCACCTCCTTCTGGCCTTCCCAACTCCAGTATAAATGAGCTTTCCTTTATTCATTCTAAAAAAGCTTTGCAGAGGAGCAGATACTTGACCTGGGCTCTTGAAGGAAAAAAAGGAGTTTGCTGGGTGGACAGGAGGAAGGGCATTTTAGGAGAAGGAACTGCTTCTGCAAAGGGAAGGGTGCGTGAATTCATTAGATGATAATGCAGTACCTTCAAGCATAGTGATTCGAGGCATAGGCTTCACGGGGGTTCATAGATCTGGATGCAGATCCAGCTCAGCTGCTTACTGCCTGGGTGACTTTAGGCAGGTGACTTAACCTCTCTGAGCCACAGTCTCATCATCTGTAAAACGAGGGCAATATTAATACCTATTACACAGGGTTTTTGTATGGATTAAGAGAAGTAGTGCTCGAGGAACACTTGCACTGGCCCTGGCACATAGTAAATGTTCAATAAATTGTGGTATTGCTATTAAGTTCCCACAGGTGTGGTTCTTGCCCTTCTCAAATCCTCCAGCATGATCAGGCCTTCATCTTCCCTGCCCAGGGAGGATTATTTATGGCTGAGGAAGCTACATTGCTAATTTTACCTTGAAGACTTGAGAGTTTACTCCTTTAAAACAGAATTGCATTATGGTTTAAAACAACATTTTATCACCATTAAAGGGAAACTTTCCAAGTTGACAGTACTAGCCCCACATCAGCACATGAGCTGGTTTTGCTTCCCACGCTTCCTTTCAGCCTCTGTACAAAAGAACATTTTTCTTAAACAGTTGTCTTCAGATTGGGTTTTCTTAACTGATGAACAGTTTACATCCTGTTCTACCATGTTCCTAAATATCTCTAATGATTAAATTCTGTGTTCTTAAGCAATCCATTCTCATAGGACCTTTGCTCTATGATATTTTTTGTTTGGGCAGGAAGATGTGAATTTTCAGTATCTTGGACTGTATTAATAGTTATTGATGGTACAGTTTGAGAATAACACTTGTGTATCAAGTGTTCACTACGGAACCAGCACCGGGCTTGTGTACACATACACTTAGACACACATATCTATCTAAGTAAGAGAACAGAGGCCCCCAAAGATGTCCAGATAATATGTGTCTACATACTATACGTATATTTATTGTATTTATTGTAAATATTGTATATGTATTATCTTATTTAATAGGCCTGTCACCTCTACAAGTTGTACTTTGATTATCCTCATTTTATTTTATTTATTTTTTAAAATTTTATTATTTTATTATTTATGGCTGGCTGACTCCATGGCCTGCACCTTAACCATTAGGCTATCCTGGATCTGATGTGAGGTGCTGAGCCTTGGGCTACAGGGATCCCTCTCCTGGATGTCCTCCTGGATCTCGAGCTGTCCCACCTCCCCAGTGGTGCCTGTCCTTCTCTGAGCTGGAAGCTGCACCCTGTGATTGCCACGCCGTGCTCCATGCTCCCCATTCTGCCTTTGGGGGCAGCCAGGAATGCACCTCATCCCCCTTCCACGTGATAGCCACGTGAACTGGCCACAACACCCCTGCTGGTGGGAAGGAGTGGGGTGTGGTTCTCCGTGGCTGACAGGTCTCTTTCCCTTGGGTGGCCAAGCAGGTCCCGGCTGAGCAGTACAGGAGCCTGGCTGAGAGTGCCCTCTTGGAGCCCCAAGTGAGAAGATACATCATCTACAACTCGAGGCCTATGCGGCTGGCCTTCGCTGTGGTGAGAGCGAGGGAGGCCTCTGAGGCACTGCTAAATTCGGAGCAGTGCCCTGGAGCCTGCTGGTGTGGGTCACGGGTTTGGGGGCTGGTGGCTGGGCTGCCTGGGAGAGAGCAGTACACCTGGACCTGGGTTTGGTGTAAGAGGAGATTCATGGGGGAGAGTTGTAACCAGCTCCCCATGCAGAGGATGGGAGGCAGGGTTTATTAAGGCCAGAGCTGGGGGATTGGGAATCTGTAGACCCACCCCTGAGGCTCTGGACTCCGTGTCTGGCTTTGTCAAGGCTTTCCTCCTCTCTGGCATTTGGTTTCCCCATCTGTTCAACAGATTGGTCTATTTCGGCTCTAGTCACATATGTGTGTGTGTATACATATAAACATATGTATACACCTATATATATACGTAAACACACACAGGCAGACAGAATATGGCGCAGCCGGTGTTGGAACCCGGGCACCCTGGTTTCTGCATCTGTGCTCTTAACCACTGTGACCTGCCACTCCTCTGTATGTATAAATGGTCAAAAAGCACTCTTGACTCCCATGTCCTGCTTCTGGGAGGGGAAGGGATGGCCACTGGCAGTTACTGATTTCCTAAGAAGTGCTAGGCTGTTACATAGGTTATCTTATTAACCCTTATAACAACACTGTGAAGTAGGTATTATTATCCCCATTTTACGGATGAGGAAACTGAGGCCCAGAGAGTTGTTACAACTTGTCTAAGGCCACCTAGCTGTTGAAGGATGAACGTGGGCTTCTGATTCAAATTTATCTCACTCCCAAGCCCCCCCTCCCTTCTCTGTTTTATTTGAATTCAGAGTAAGCAAGGATTTGGAGTGGCTATTCTAACCCCTTGCCTCTCCCTTTGCTTTTGAACAAAGAACAAGGGCCCATTCTCACAGACCACCCCAATCTCCCGCCCCCATCAGTCTCTGACTGGCCTTGTGAGCTCGCGCATCCATGGAGGGCGTCAGAAGTGGCCAGAGGGTGTCCCTTGGAATGGAGCTGCTTCGTTTGAGGACTGGTGTTGCTGACGGTGCCCTTTCTCTGGCTTCTTGCAGGTGTTCTACGTGGTGGTATGGGCCAACATCTACTCCACCAGCCAGATGTTCGCCCTGGGGAACCACTGGGTGGGTGTGCTGCTCGTGACCCTGGCTGCCATGAGCCTGACCCTGACTCTTGTGCTCATTTTCGAGAGACACCAGAGGAAGGTAAGACATCCGGGGACTCCAGCCATGCTCCCTGCAGAAAGGCTGTGTGGACAGGATAATCCCAAGTCAGATTTTTCTTTTACCTGCTTCAAAGAATTTCCCCAACCATGAAAATTCACCCTGCCCGTGTGCCCAGTGACTAAAAGAAATCAAATCACACGTGTGATTAAATCCTTCCTGTTTTTCTCTCTGATGCCTGTGGGTTGTTTTTCTGGAAGCAGGCTGTGTTTTGAGAGAGTCTGGGAGCGGGGAGGATGACACTTTGAGGCGACTGAGCCCTTCTATGCACCTCCTCTGCCTGGGTGCTCGCCACGGCCCTGTGAGCGAGGGTGTTTCCTGGACCCACCTCACAGCATGGGGTACCTGGGGAGAGGTGGATGGACTCTGCCTGGTGCTTGGTTGACAGTTGTGTCTCATTTAACCCCAGTAACGACCTCTGAGGGAGAGACTGGGTGGGTGATCAGGGAGTTTAGGTAACTTGTCCCAATCCCACTCTGAGTGGCAGAGTGGAGGTTCAAAGCCTGAACCCTGTGATTCCTGATCTCATTCACAAAGGAGATCGATACCCCCGGCTTAATGTGTGGTTTGCTAATTGTCTTCTGCTTCTTCAACATCTGTCTTTTGTTACTGTTGAGCACTTCATATGTGGTAGGTCATCACTAAATGCTTTACATGCATTAACTCATTAAACCCCCCAGTAAACCTCTGGGTAGAGGCTTTTACGTTCATTTTGCAGGTGAGGAACCCGAGGCTCCGAGAGGCCCAAGAAGTAGTCCAAGGTCATGCTGCTAATAAATAGCAGAGCTCGAATTCAAGGCCAGGAGGCTCAGATTCCAAGCCACATTCTCAGTCAATACCCAACTGTGTTGGTGTTCTGTGGCTGTAACAGATAACCATAAATGTAGTGGCTTAAAACAACAGAAATGTGTGTGTTACAGTTCTGTAGTTTAAAAGTTTGACGGGGCTGGGCTGCCTCCTTTCTGGAGCCTCTAGGGGGGGAATCTGTTTCCTTGTCTTTTCCAGCTCCTGGAGGCCACCTGCGTTTCTTGGCTCATGGCCCCTTCCTCCATCTTCAAAGCCAGCAGTGGTGGGTTGAGTCCTTCTCGCATTCTTGACTCTGAGTCTTCTGTCTCCCTCTTCTACTTTCAAGGTCCCCTGTGATTACATTGGGCTGTCTAGATAATCTGGGACAATCTTCCCATTTTAAGGCTAACTGATTAGCAACATTAATTCCATCTACACCCTTAATTTTTCAGTGCCAAGTAACATAAATTCACAGGTTCTGGGAAGTAGGATTTACACCTCCTTGGGGGACCCTTATTCTGGCAACCACCCCTCCACTGTCTTTCCAGCTGCTTCAGAAGCTCCCCCAGCACCTGGCACAGAGCTGGACTTTGAGATCTTTAGCAAACACTCCACTCTTGCCTCACTCAGGAGGAGAGGGCGGGATGTTGGGAAATGTGGTCAGGGTTCAGGGGTATGAATTCCATTTAGTGCCTGTGCTCACAGGGACAAATAGGAACTTCATGGCTTAATCATTCTGAAAGGATCTTTGTCGGGCTTTGCGATGAGGCTGACAGAATAGTGCTGCCCTTGGGCTCTGCTGAAGCTCTCATGGCCCCTGTGTTTGGCCTATAAAAAAATCAGTGGGGCTGGCTGCTTCTGCAGCAAGAACCTTCTCTTGGGGAGGGGGAAGGAGCAAAGTGCCCTGCTTTATCAGGAGCAAGCAAAATATCTGGCACCTGGCAGGTGCTTCAGGGAGGCAGTTCAGGGAATGCCTGCTGTGGCTCTCTGCCTCCTTCCTCCCTTTCTTCCTTATTCAGCTGGCATTTATGAAGCCTCCGCAAGTGCCTAGGAGATGTGCTAGGCACAGGGCACAGAGACAAACAAGACCCTGGATCTTTACGTGTAGGGGCAGCGTGGAGGCCCCAGGTACATAATAGCCCTTCTGTCATCACTGTTTGTTGATCCCCTCCAGGATCCTTACTTTCTCATAAGACCATCGTTTAATGAGCACTTACTATGTGTTCTGTGTTTGGGACCTGATATCCATGCCCAACAACAACCTCACAAGGAAGCAGGGTACCTCTGCCATTTGCTAGCCCTGCAGCCTGGGGTGATTTATTATTTAACCTCTCAGGGCCTTAGTTTTCTCATCTGTACAATGGGATAATAATTTTAGCTCCCTCATAGGATTGTTGGGAGAACTAAATGACTTAATACATGCAACGTGCTTATAATCTTACTTGGTGTTACATAAATGCTCACTATGTATCAACTGTTATGATTATTTACTCTTCACTAGTGGTGAAACCAAAGCTCAGAGAGGTTAAGTAACTAGTCTGTGGTCACACAGCCTTGCTCAGGTCTTCCTCTGAGCCTCAGCTCAAGGACTTCTTTATCCTCGGATCCCTCATCTCTCAGGACCATGCAGATCCCCCTTCCTGACCATTGTCACTCTTACTGTTTGTGTCCTACCCGCATCACATAGCATCCTTGAGAGCCTCAGCATTTGTACACACTGCCTTGTTTTCCCCTTGTTTGGGTCATTATTAGCCTTTTTCAAGATCAGAAGGCTTATGAAGGCAGGCAAGACTCTGTCTTTTATCCCCTAAAGAGTAAAACACATCACTAGGGTATGTTGAAAATTCCTAAAAATATTCGTTTGTGGCCAACATGGTACAGTGGAAAACATGGTGTTTTCAGTTGAGTATCGTCATCATAAAGATATTACTAGGTAACATATATCGAGTGTTCATTCTTCCAGGTGTCCTATGTGTATTAACTCATTTCATCCTTATTCTAACCCTTATTGTTCGGGGGTGTTATCTCCAATTTGGACGTGAGGGTGTGGAGGCAGAGATGGTGACTAATTTGCCCAGGGTTATATAGGTAGTTAAGAGATGGAGTCAGGACCTGAAATCTTGGTGATAGGGGTTTCTGAAAGGGTGAACACCCTTGCTAAAGTTCTAGGCAAAACAAAATATAATCACCCCTTGATTTTTATAATACAGGCAGACTTTGGAGATACTGTGGGTTTGGTTCCAGACCACTGCTATAAAGCGGATATCACAGTAAAGAGAGTCACACAAATTTTTTGGCTTTCCAGTGCATATAAAAGTTATGTTTACACTATACTGTAGTCTATTAAGTGTGTAAAAGCCCTATGTCTAAAAAAAAGCAATGCACATACCTTAGTTAAAAAATAACGCTAGTGGAAAAATGGCGTCAATAGACTTGCTCGACTCAGATTGTCACAAACATTCAGTTTGTAAAAAAAAAAAAAAAAGGCAGTATCTGTAAAGCGCAATGAAGCGAAATGCAATAAACGAGGCGTGGCATTCCTGGAAAATCCAATGTATTTTAAAACCTATTCACAAAACACTTTAGGTTTATATGTAAAATGGAATTAGGTTGGCCAGTCAGAGAATTATGAAGAGAGTTTTTCACATGTGCTCGTGCCCAGTGGGACATTTAGGGTTCAGGTAGGCTGGGGGACAGTTCTTCCACGTGCAAAATTCTCTGTCATGGGACGTGGCCTACAGTGGAAGGCATGTGTTTAGCATCCCTGGTCCTCGTCCCTAAATGCCAGCATTGCCTGTCCTGTGCCTGTGACAACCGTAAGGGCCTTCTCACACATTCAGAAGCTCCCTACAGGGGTCCTTCCTGTTTTGGGGACCATTGTCCTCGATTGGGTTGCCTTCTAATTGCATCTGAAAGTCCTTGTAGGGTCTTATAGAGCTTTGGGTCCTGTCACCCTTCCTCTCCTCTCCTGCCCGATCTGCTTAGCACCTACTTTGTCATCCATGGCGTCAGTTGGTTCTGGTGGGAAAAGAAGGAGATGGATTCCCAGAGCCCTCCTCCGAGGGCCAGTCACTGGGTTAGGTAGTATGGAAAATAGGTGCTTTATTTCCACAATCGATGCTCAAAGCTCTCCAACCCCCTCCTCCCTCAGATATGTGTGGCCCCCGACTGTGTCCCAGGCACTGGGTTAAGTGCGTCACACACACAATCTCAGTTCAATCTCACCATGTTCCTAAGGGCCGGAGATGCTTTTTATCCTTCTTCAACAACTGAAGAAAGCAAGACTCAGAAGGGACACATTTGTCCAGGGCCACACCGCCGGGAAGTAGCAGAGCTGGGCTTCACCCGAAGCTCTCTGACACTGTTGAATTTATTGTCCCAACAATGCCACAGTCTGTTTTATAGGGGAGACAATGGATGTGTCTTGGAGACCAGGATTGTCCCGTGGTGTCTCGGGGAGGGACAGTGTGTGGTTATTGCTCAGGCCCAAGAGCTCCCCGGCAGCATGGAGGTTGGGCCATGGGGCTGGCGTTTGTCTTACAGGCCAACGCCAACACGGATCTGAGGCTGGCGGCTGCCAACGGAGCCCTCCTGAGACACCGGGTGCTGTTGGGGGTGACAGACACGGTGGAAGGCTGCCAGAGTGTGATTCAGGTACTGTGTCTCGGAGTGACCTCTCCAGTGGACCCACTTTGGGGCTGGGCTCTCCCAGTCTGTGCAGTGTCCCCCGGAGTCTGCTAATGGAGATGGCGTCGGCAGCCCCTCCTTCCTCTCTGCTCCAGTGTTTCTTTCTGGAGACTCCTCCCTGGGTGGTAACCAGCAGCCTAGAACCTCCACGAGGCGGGGCTGGAAGGGAAGCTCGGCGACCATCCAAGCCACATTCCTCATTGAACATTTATTCAGCAAAGAGATGGGGCCTCCTCTGTTTCGAGCCCTCAGTACCCAGACAAGGTCCCTGGGGAGGCAGGTCAGACCCTGAGGGCCTTGTCCTCCTGGCATGGTTGTTTTCTTGGCCCCAAGGCAATGGGGAGATCCGAAGTGACTAGAGAGGTCACACAGTGGGTCTGGGACACAGCTGGGCTGGTTGAGGCCCAGGGCGCCTGAGCCTGGCTGGGGTCTGCCTGGGAGGATTGATCAATCTCCTCAGCACCACGTCCGCGTTCTTAGCTGGTGAGGGGCCCAGGGTGTGGGTACGGGTGGGCCCCCAGCGGGCACAGGGTTTGACATTTTCCAAATCTGCACACGAAGCCACTTGTCTACCAGACCCCGTCGTGCGGGGGGGACTCTGGGAGAGAGCAGAATGGCATGCTCACGCCGGAGACCGGGATGAACCTGGTCATCCCCAGAAGGGCAAGCCTGCAGCGAGGAGGCAGGAGGGGAGGCCCGTCTCAGGGATGGAGAGTTCAAGGTCGGGTCGTTTTGGCCTCAGCAGTCACGGCTGCTTCTCTCCCCAGCTCTGGTTTGTCTACTTCGACCTGGAGACCTGTGTGCAGTTTTTGTCCGACCATGTTCGAGAAATGAAGACGAGCCAAGAGGTGAGATACCTTAAGTGAAAAGCAAAAAAATAAACCAGGAGGCTAGATTGTATAGATTGCATTACCTCAGCGTTGGAACAAGTGTCTAAGGAAAAGTTACTTGGAGGGAAGAATACCTCTGTGGAATCATGGTTGTTTTTGCCTAGGGAATTATGGCTGTTTTTCTCTTCCTTTTTAAAGAATTTTTTTTTAAATAGAATTATTTATTTATTTATATTTAATTTTTGGCTGCATTGGGTCTTTGTTGTGGCGAGCGGGGGCTACTCTTCATTGCAGTGTGCGGGCTTCTCATTGCGGTGGCTTCTCTTGTTGCGGAGCATGGGCTCTAGGCGCTTGGACTTCAGTAGTTGTGGCACGTGGGCTCAGTAGTTGTGGCTTGCGGGCTCTAGCGCGCAGGCTCAGTAGTTGTGGTACATGGGCTTAGTTGCTCCGCGGCATGTGGGATCTTCCTGGACCAGGGCTCGAACCCATGTCCCCTGCATTGGCAGGTGGATTCTTAACCACTGTGCCACCAGGGGAGTCCTCTTTTCCTTTTTAACTAGTCGCATTTTCCACATTTTCTACAGTGAATATAAATTTTATCTATAATAATAATAATAAATAACAGTGAGAATATATTTCATTTATAACAACAACAATAATAAAGATTCTGGCAGAGGAAAATACCGTATATTTAGATGACTTTCACTTGTTTGAAATCCTGAATGTTTTGAGAAGGAACGGGGAGAGTTTGCTCCAGTTCCACAGAGGAGGAAACTGAGGCTCTGAGAAGCCGCATAGCTGGTTGGTGATGCCAAGTTTGGAGCCCAGCTCGCCTGTCCTCGAGCCCTGTGCTTCTTCCCTGGGATCCATTTTCGGGCCCCCGCAAGTGCTGTAGTTGGCTTTGAAGTCAGGATCGTGGCTTAGCCCTGATCCGGACCCATTGGTTCCTGTGTGGCTTTGGGCAATTCCTTTGAGCTCCAGTTTGCTCATCTGCAACATATGGGTAAAGATTCCCACGTCCCAGGCTGCTTTGAGGAGCAGATGAGAGCATGGAAGGAAAAGTGCTTCTGACCATACTTTGGCAGGAATGATCTGATCTCTCCAGAGTCTCCTGAGGTCAGCATCTGAGTCTGTAGACGGTCTATCCGTCCTGTGTGGGTCTGCGGCTCAGGGAACCACCCGGCATCCTCCATCCACCTAACTTAGGACACCACCGAGCCCCTCTCTGTTTCCTTTGCAGTCCTTGCTGAGAAGCAGATTGAGCCAGCTGTGTGTTGTCATGGAGACTGGGGTGAGCCCCACGGTGGCCGAGGGGCCGGAGAACCTGCTGGAGGAAGCTCCTCTCCTGCCCAGCAGTCCTCGTCCCACGGAGAGGCCACTCATGCAGACTGAGCTTCGCCAGCTTATTCCTGAGGCTGAGCCGGAGGTAACAGGCACCTGGGCCAGTCAGGTCCCCTCCTCCCCAACCAGGTGTTTGCATAGGGTCCGTGTGGGGCTCTCAAGTTCTAGATTCCTGGGGACATGCCTTTACTGGGTTGGTAGGGACCATACACGTCTTCTAGCCTACCAGTTTTCAATATTCTTTTCCTCACGCCAGCACTTTAAAAGATAGCTTAGAGGAATCATTTTATACTTATTGGATGCCCCCTCACCCCATTTAAAAAATATCTTGGTATTCTTTTGTGTAGTTCTATTGGATATGTAGTTGCATATTGATGGATCATAGCCTACGTAACCATAAACACGTTGATGAATATTTGGATCATTTTTAAATCTATCAATCAATCTATCATCTCTCCATCCATCTCCTTAAATTGAAGTTGGATATTTAAATCTTGTATGCATCTCTGTTGAATTCCATTTCCTCCTGCTCCAGAGTTCTGTTGGGTCCTGCCACCCAAGCTGTCTGTTGGGTATGGTCAAGAGCTAGTAGACCAGAAGTCTGGTAATGTGGTTTGCGGCTTGTGCAACCCTCTTCTCACCATGAGGACAGACCCACTGTCTGGGAGACATGCAGTGAGGGGCGACCTGTGGCAGGGTGTGATACAGGAGAGCACTTGCATTTTCTTTTTAGCCAATAGATTTGGGGATTAAAGGTCCAAACCAGCCCAGACTTTCCCTTTTGCATGGATGGGGAGTGGGGGGACCTGCAAATAGGACCATTATGAGGGAAAATGATAAATATATTAATCTCTTCAAAGAGCTGAAAAGATTGATAAGATCACGTTCTTTCTTGTGCATGCATGTCTGGGTTTATGTGAAATAGCTCATTAACTATGATGGGTCTTTTAAATTATTTTTTCAAATTCATTCAAACAAATAGTAATACAATTTCCTGTCATGAATATCAAGTCTCAGGGTGTGTGCACATGTTTTTAAAGTAGCTGCCCTTATAAAATAGCAAAGGAAAAGCAATGCCCAAGTCTCAACGGGGGCCAGACTGTCATATTTCAGGAGGAACCCAGTGTGTGCAAAAGGCGGAGAAACAGTTATAATGACCTCTTTCATTTTCACAGGTTTTAATCATGCATAAAATTCTTTAGCATATCCTCTGAAGTATAGATTATTTTCCCTTCTTCCTTGATGGGTGAAGTAAGCTTCCAGGAGGTCAGCTGACTCACCCAAGGTCTCAGAACAAGGGAGAATGTGGCAAAGTCCAAGGCAGAAACCAGTCCTATGATTCTCAGGAGGCCAATTTCTTGTCACAGTTCTTTGTTTCTTATGTTATCAATTTTAGAATAAATGGGCGGGAAGACCAATCTGAGTTAGTACGTGGTGGGCTGTTTGACGTTTTCAACATTTTTCTGGCACAAAGGATAACTCCAAGGAAACACGGCTCCTACAGAGCTAGGTGGAATTTCTGCTTTTTGAATAATGATAATGGTAGTGATATTGATGCCATTTATTGCGAATTAGGTATTGGGCTTTCTATCCATTAGTGCTTTTAGTCCTCACTCCAGCTCAACCAGAAAGGTGCTGTGATTTTCTGTCTTACTGATGAGGAAGTGGGCTAAGCAAGGTGAAGTGACTTTGCTCAGGGTCCATCCCAGGGTGGCTGAGCTGACATTCCCATTTGGCCCTTTTGATTTAAAAGCCTATTCTTGACCCCTAACTGTATTGACGTAAACAGGCTGGGTGTAACCCACACTTTACTTCGTTACATTCAGACTGGACACAAGTACTGTGAAAGACTTCCATGCCACACAAAAGAAACTGGAGCATCTTTGCTGGAATCCCAACTGCCAGACAGGTGGATGGAACTTTAGAGACCAAATGTGTTAAGAGCATGCATTAAATACAATTAAAAAATTTTTTTTCCTCTTTTTCACTTTTTAATTTTTTTTCACTGCAGTAAAATATACATAATATAAAATTCACCGCCTTAACTATTTTTAAGTGTACGATTCAGTAGCAGTAAGTGCATTCACATTGTTGTGCAACCATCACTACACCCTCCTCCAGAACTTTTTCATCTTCCCAAATTGAAACAACATACCCATTAAATACAAATTCTTTTACCTTACCCAGCCCCTGAAAACCACCATTCTACTTTCTGTCTCTGTCTCTTATTGCTCTCGGTGCCTCATATGAGTGGAATCATATCGTATTTGTCTTTTTGTGCTAAATCCAGTTTTGATAAGCACGTTTAATATAGGAGTACTGTCTGAAGCAATTCGGCAGGTACTGCTGTGTATGACTTGAAGAATCCTGCCGTCAGAGGGGTATTCCCCCAACCATGCCTCCATTTACTGGTCATTTTCTTCAAGTGCATTACCTTGATGTCATGTACTTTACAAAATCACAGACACTTGAAACTGGAAAAATGTGTGTGTGTGTGTGTGTGTGTGTGTGTGTGTGTGCGTGTGCACGATTGGCTGGTATAAACCAATGGTAATTCCTCTAGTGCTTTGAGGCTCCCTAGCTTTTTTGTGCACATTATTATCACCTATTAGCAGTTAGGTTACCACCTCAGAGATGTGGAAACTGAGGCTGCAGGAGCTCCACAGAGCTTGAGAGCTGGAGTTCCAGACCAGATTCAGGCATCTTGCAGCTGTCCCGGGTGAGGGCCTTGCCGGGTTCTTCCTAGTGAGCATTACTGCTGGTCCAGGTGTGTAAGGACCACTTGGCGTACCCCTCATGCTTTAGACACTTTTCTGTGGCCCTCACTCTTTTTCCCTACCTCTTCCAGGAAATGGCCCAGCAGCTGCTGGCAGTGTTTGGTGGCTACTACATCCGGCTCCTGGTGACCTCTCAGCTCCCCCAGGCATTGGGCACACGACACACAGACTCTCCAAGGATTCCATGCCCCTGCCAGCTCATAGAAGCCCACATCCTGGGCACAGGGTGCTGCCCATTCCTGGCCAGGTGACCTAGGGACGAAGGTACTCATCTTCTTCCAAGGCTGAAGGTGAGAAGTCAGGGAGGCCTCAGGAGCCCAAGGTGGCCGACGGTGAGCCCTAGGCGAGGAGAGCAGCATCTGGGGGCACTCTGAGGCTGTCAGTCGTGTCAGCACTGCGAATATTGTGCTCACCCCAGGACCCTGCACGAGAATGGCTTGTCAACATCCCACACTGGCCCCTGGCCTTTGCAGAAGCCGATGGTCCCACTCTGAGGTACTTTCTGTGCTGCTTAGAACTGTGGGCATGGATGAAAGGGCCACCCGCACATCCCTTTCATTGTCTGGAGAGCCCAGGAAATGTGAAGATGACCAGACTGGACTGAATGTGTGTCCAAAGCTTGGTCTCGGGTGATGCTTCTGTCCCCACCCCCTTCTTGTCAGATGGAGACTCAGGGAGGACACTGCTCTTTGTGGCATCGCCTTGGGCCCCTTAGATTATAAGAAGCCTCTTCCCAATCTGAAGTGAAGAAGTAAATTCTGAGAATGTTCTCCATCTTTAAGTTGTTTCTTTCCTACATTTTCTGAAAAAAGATGGCGCTTGGGCTTCTATGCTAGCACACAGGCCTTGAGGAGTAGGAAACAGACGGCCTGTAACTGCTAATGGGAATATTTGGAAGAGACTGATCCTGTCTGATTGGAGGCCATATTTTGTTCACAGCATGCTTGCTTGTGGGATGGTTTCATACTGCAGACGGAGAATGGCCGTGTGTTCCCTGACACTAACACTGTCCTGGAGTGAAGCGTAATCTGTCACTTGTGGAATTCCATGAAGAGCTCAGAGGCTGCCAGGTGCTCTGCTTCTGAACAAGTTTGAAGACCCGTTGTTCCCTAGGCCCAAATCCAAAAGCCCTAGCCTGGCATTTAAAGGCTCCCCAGCACCTAAGACCTGGCCTTCATCTGCAATTTTGGCTTCATCGCCCATAAAAATCCTTCGTAGGTTGAAACTCTTTTCCTGGACTGACATACCTGTTCCTTTGTATGTGCTGGACTCCTATGCATGCTTTTGTAAAAAAAAATTTTTTTTTAATTGAGGTATGGTTGACGTAAGATATATACAAGGTTCAGGTGTACAACATAGTGATTCACCATTTTTAAATGTTATACTCCACTTATAGTTATTATAAAATATTGACTGTATCCCCTGTGTTGTACAATATATCTCTGTAGCTTATTTATTTTATACATGGTAATTTGTACCTCTTATCCCCTCCCCCTATCTTGCCCCTCCCCCTCCTATGCATGCTTTAATGCTCAGTTTTCCTTATCCCTCCTTCAGGAAGCCTTTCAACATAGCCAGACCTGCCACTCTCTGCCTCCTTTATTTTTTTATTTTTATTTTTTAAAAATTACCTCTTAATCCATGAATCCAAATCATCTCACTTTTTTTTTTTTTCCCCACGCCACGTGGCTTGCGGGATCGTAGTTCCCCGACCTTGGATTGAACCCAGGCCACTGCAGTGAAAACACCGAGTCCTAACCACTGGACCGCCAGGGAATTCCTGACTCTGCGGCCTTTAAATTCTTGATATAGTTGCTGCTTTTACTCATGTTTTATGTTATTGATTCTGTTTTCCTGTGCATATACCTATTCTTCTAGCTAGACTATAAGCTCCTCAAGGACAAAGACTGCACCTTGTACTTTTTGTGCATGACCTGGACTTGCTAAGGAAAAAAATCCTGTGGACTGAGTGCTTTGTCATCTCTATAGTAGCTTTTGCAAATTACTCTCTGTACTCAGTTGAATGATGAAGTTGTCACAGACTGGGGTTCTGGTCCTGAACTGCCACTTTTAGCTATGTAACTTTAGGCTGGTCCTCAGTCTACACATCTGTATAGTGGGTAGATTGGATGATTCTTAATGGCCCTTTCAAAGCCAAAGATCTGGGAATTTCCATCTTTTTCTGTTCCATTTTAACCCTTGGCCTTTCTCTCTGTTATGCCTTTATCTACAATGCAGAAAGGTTCTATAGACCCACACAGGTGAGGTGTCCCAGACCTGATACCCCTTTGGATGGAACACTGGCCTAGCCAGCAGGAGAGCTGTATTCTCATTTCAGATCTGCTACTTCTTAGCAGTGTGACCTTGGCTAGGTTAACCTCTCTGAATGTCAGTTCACTCTATAAATGAATCTGGTGAACGTGAAATGTAATTATGTGGGTGACTTACCATGTAAGAGATGAATCTGACTGTTCACTTTCTCTGGGCCAGAGAAGAGAAATCATGTACATAGACCAGCCCTTGGAAATGGCTCTTTTAGGCATTTCTCGTCAGCCGACAAATGCTGTGGCCCGCTTTGCTCAATGAGAATTATTCATGAAGGCGATCATTGTCTTCCTCACCTGCCACAGCGGAAGTGTGGGCTGTGAATGTGATCAATAGTAGCCCATATTTATCATCCAACCATAAAACCCTGGTAAGTATAATAACAGAGAATAAAAATGTGTGTGTTTTGACCAAACAGCAGTTTCTCCATTTGACAGCCTCCTTAAAGGACCCTCGATGTGTTGTTTCCTGCCTTTTCCTCTCTCTAGAGTTTCTGGTGGTGTCACCCAGTGGGTGGGGCATTCAGGTGTGCCCCTGAGGTACATTTCTTCGCATTTGAGCCTCAGTTTCCTCTTTTAGAAAATTCTGTGATCTCTGTCTTGCCTGCTTCACAGGGTTGCTGTGAAGATGAGATTCCACAAAGGAACGTGTGCGCCGTTTCAAAGCTCTGTGTCGATGGCGGGCATGGAGCTGGTGAAGTTGGTGCCGTGTCGTGAAGTGGGAGCGGAGGGCTTGGATTCTAGAGTCACATGTATTCAAATCCAAGGTCTGCCACCTCAGAGCCGCGTCCTTCGCATCCTCGGGTCTCAGTCCTCAAGTGTGGAATGGGGATGTGTGCCCACCTGGCAGGTGATTGTGAAGATTAAATGGTATACAAAATGTAAAGTGCTTACAACTGTGAGTTGCAAACTTGAGTAAGCGCTCAAGAAATTGTTGCTATTATTATTATTTTTTTTATCTCTCACTATGTCTTAAATGCTGTAGGTGCCCGACTTATGCTTTTGTGGATGATGTAGTTCATTAACAGTTAATGTTTATTCATTCTGCGTCAGACCTCAGTTACTCCAGCACCATGGGGTGTATTTATGTGAATAAAGATTCTAGTCTTTATTCTTTAATCTAGGGAAGATTCTGCTTCCCTAGCAGGGAAGTTAAGCACAAGCTGGTTGGTGACGTTGGGCCAGATGCTCACCCTCTCTGTTCTTCCTCGTCTGTTAAGGGGGCATGTGATAATAGGGAGATGAATTGAGGTGACGCATGCAAAGCACAAGGCCTGGTTCATAGTGTGGTCCATAGTAAGGGCTCCATCATCTGATGATGACTTTTCTTCAGCTGCTGCATACTGTTTTCTACCTGTGTCTATTTGTGTGAGTTTTTACTTACCTTATTCAAATCTATATCCTTACTGATTTTGGTTGGTTGGTTCTATCAGCGACCAAGGGAGGAAACTCTCCAGCCAGGATTGTAGATTTTCTGTTTCTCCTTTTACTTTTGACCAAGTTTTTTTTTTTTTTAATTACACAGTTTAAAAAACTGAGATGTAATTAACATACCATAAAATCCACCATTTTAAAGTATAAAATTCAGTGGTTTTTAGTATATATATTCACAAGATTGCACAAACATCACCACTATTTAATTCTAGAACATTTTCATCGCATCTTCCCCCCACAGAATCCCCCTACCCATTTGTAGTCACCCTGTTGCTCCCTGTCCCCAGCCTCTGACAGTCACTGGTCTACTTTATCTCTCTGGATTTTCCCATTCTGGACATTTCATAAATAGAATCATGCAGTTTGTGGCCTTTTATGTCTGGCTTTTTCACATAACATAATGTTTTCCAGAATCATCCATATTGTAGCATGTATCAATACTGTATCCCTTTTTAACGGTTGGGTAATATTCCATTGCACGGATAGAGCAGATTTTGTCTATCCATTCATCCAGCTGGGTTATTCATCAAATCTACTTTTTGGCTATTAGGAATAATGCTGCTATGAACAATTGTGTACAAGTTTTTGTGTGAACGTGTATTTTAATTCACTTCTGACAAGTTTTGCTCTGTTATTCCATGCATACAAATTTAGAATTATTAGAACTGCCTGATGGTTTGACCCTTTTATCTTTATGAAATATCCCCCTTTAGTAGATTTTTGCCTTAAAATCTACTTTGTCTGATACATTAGCTTTCTTTTGATTGGCGATTACATAGTATATCTGTTCATCCTTTTACCTTCAACTTATCTGCATCCTTATATTTAGGGTGCCCCTCTTGTGAACGTGTGGGATTAAAAAAATTCAGTCCGTTTTTTAACTGGCGTATTTACTATGCTATGTCCAGTGTGTTTCCTGATATATTAGATAGTTTTGGGCTTAAATGTTCCATCTTACTGTTTACTTACTATTGGTCCTCCCCTTCTGTGTTCTTTTTTCTGTACTATTTTTGCCTTCTTTTGCATTAAGTTTTTGTGATTTGTATAATTTCTCTTCTAGTAGCTTGTGAGGTATGTATTCTTTTCTCTTAGTGGTTACCCTAGATTACAACATGCATCCTGCACTTATGCAATTCTGTTATAAGAGGATCCTTCTATCACTTTCTGGACAATCCAGAGACCTTAGAACCTTTCTGTCTGTGGTGGTCTTGTTCTCATGGATTTCAATTCTTGCTATATTTTAAACCACAACAGACATTATTATTATTATTATTTTTTTTTTTTTTTTTGTGGTCTGCGGGCCGCTCACTGTTGTGGCCCCTCCCGCTGCGGAGCACAGGCTCCGGATGCGCAGGCTCAGCGGCCATGGCTCACGGGCCCAGCTGCTCCGCGGCATGTGGGATCTTCCCGAACCGGGGCACGAACCCACGTCCCCCACATCGGCAGGCGGACTCTCAACCACTGCGCCACCAGGGAAGCCCAGACATTATTATTAATGCTTTGTATAGTCAGTGTTCATTTAGGTTTATCCACATGTTTACTTTTTATTATTCTTCATTTATTACTTTATTATTCTTTATCCCTTCCTGCATTTCCACACATTTGTCTAGAATTATTCACCTACTCCTGAAACTACCTTTGGAATTTTTCTTTAGAATAGTATTTATATTTAGAAGTACCTTTAGTATCTTCCTTCCAGTACAGATCTTCTAGTGACAGATTGAGTTTTTGTTTGCTGAGAGGTCTCTATTGTGTTTTTATTTTTGAAAGAAGTTTTTGGTAAGTCAAGAATTCTAGAGTACTACAGGTTTCTGGGGTTCTTTTCAACCTTTGGAAGATGTCATTGGTTTTCATTATTTGTGAAGTCAGTTATCAGTCTTGTTGCTGTTCTTAAAATTTCCTCTTTGCTTTGGGTTTCAGTAATTGTATTTTGATGTGCCTAGGTATAACTTTTTTTATATTTATCCTGTTTGGGATTTGTAGCACATCTTGAATCTGTGATACAGTATTTTTCATCATAGCTTCTCCTCTTTTTTCTCATCTCCTTCTGGGACTCTAAGGATATGGATGTTAAGACCTTGTCACTGGATCTCTAAGACTCTCTGTGTTTTCTATTCTTTTGGTTCTTCATGATTCAGTCTGAATATGTTTTACTGACTTATCTTCCACTTCATTACTCTTACCCTCAGTTATGTTTACTCAGTTGTTAATCCTTTGAATTGAGTTCTTAATTTAAGCTATTGTAATGTTCAGTCCTGTAATTTTTAACTGATTTTTAAAAAATAGTGTACAGTTCTCAGATGAAATTATCCATCTTGTCATCTGTTTTCTTCAATATTTTAAAGTCCACATCTGCTGACTCCAGTATCTGGCTCTTCTGTAAGTATGTTCCTTTTGCCTTTTCGGTCAGTTGGTCCTATCTTCCGGTATTCCTGGTAATTTTTTATTGAATGCTAGACACTTTTAAAAAATGAAACATTGAAGAGATGTACAAGACTCTGGATATTCCTTCAGAAAGGATTTACTTTTGCTTCTGAGAAAAGTAGAGTTGGGTTAGTTTGACTCTGGGTTTTAGTCCTAGTAAGACTTAGTATATTTCTGGTTAGCACTGATTTGCAGGTTCTAGCTCTTCAGAGATTTTAACTGGAAACGTACGTTTAAAAACTTTTAACAGCCAATCCTCTTCCTCCAGGGTGAGCCCTCAGCCTCTAAGCGGTGAGTCTACTGAAAGCTCTGCCCAGTTTTTCAGCCTTTTAGACTCTCTTTAGGAGTTGGCAAGTGCCTTGAGGAGGTCAGAAGACCTTGATGTCCATTTCATCTCTCTGCACTTTCTTTCTCTTGAGGATCTTGGCCCCTCAAGTCCTCACTGCATTGGTAGCTCTTTGACATATTCGGACAGATTTAAGAAAAAGAAACTACAGCCTTTTAAACTGCTCTCAGTAGGAGGATTGGTCTGATACCAGCTAGTTTGCCATAGTCAGAGGTAAGGTCCAGCTGTGGCTTCCATTATTACTTTTATTGTTATTATTTGAAAATCCTCTAAAGAAAGATATCACCCTGAGGCCAAGAGCCCTTTGACAAGTTCATAGGATGTGAGCCTCCCCCCATCTTTCTGTGAAGTGGCTTCTAAATGCAGGAGGTGACATTTAAGGAGCATCTTTTATGTGCAAAGCACCTGCTGAATCTGTTGCAGGAAACAGTTCCAAGACATAAGGAACATAGGGTTTTCTGGAAGTTCCCTTGTTTCCTTTCAGCCATTGTTCTTTTAACTTTACCTGCCACATATTTCTAACCTCCTTCTGGATGTGGCCACCTGGATGTCCCATAGACTCATTTAGCTGGACATAGCGCAAGATGAAATGATCTCCTGTGTGTGGTGAACTTGGCCTCACTACCACCCCCTTCGCAGTTCTCTGCATTGCAAAAGAAGTGAAGAACTTCATTTTGCAGAATCTTCTTCCCTGTGTGGTTCCGAGTTCGAATTGGCCAGCTTTACCCGAGATATATTTTGTAACTTGGGGCTCTCGTCTCCATCTTAGGGATGCTGACCTAGTTCATACCTGTATCACTGTCTGTCTTGATTGCCTAGGCAGCCTCTTTTTGGATGTCTGTATCAGTTAGGGGCCAATCAGAAGACAGAAAGCACACAGTAATTTGAATATAAGAAGTTTAATATAAAGAATTATTAACTTTAACAGGGGGTTGAAATAATGGATTGGTGAATAAGAAGTAAGAGCCTATAAAGGATATAGAAATAACAGGTCTAAGGCATAGCCACCACCACAGGGCTGAGATAGAGGCCTCATCTCCAGCTGAGATATGGACCTTGGGAAGGACATGGCTGTGGCCCGTTGGACGCAGAGAAGTCTCTGAGATGCCATGTTGACAGAATGTTCTAGAAATCTGCCCTCTAAGGTGCTAGGGAAAGCTATCACAGAGAGATGGAGGCACTACCCCATTTGTTGGGGGTAAGTCACCGGGAGAAGCTGCTGGCTGCTAAGTGCTGTCGACCACCATATACGGCAGGATCTGGGTGCTGGAGAAGCCACGTGAGCTGCCAGAGTCAGATACCCAAGGAGCTACATGTGCTGCTCCCTGCTAAGTGAGCTCCCCGGAACAGAAGGAAGGCCCTTCCTCTTCCAGTATCTCCAGCATCGCCTACTGACGAAGCCTAACATTGCACTGGCTGCCGAGGGAAAAAGATTTAAAGGGCCCAACTCCAGTTTCGAAGAACAGGCAATGAACTGTCAATTTGGAGCCAAAAGCAATCACTGAATGTCATTCTGCCATCATTGTGAAGGGCAGCATAACTGGTTGGTTAAGAGTGTCAATTCTGGAATCAGGTGTCCTGGGTTCAAGTCTCAGCTCTGCCATTTACTATTAGTGTAATCTTCAGAGACGTGTTTAAGTTCTCTGTGTCTCAGTTTCCTAATTTGTAAAACCAGAGTAGTAACAGTACTATCCTTGTTGGGTTATTATGCTAAGTGAGTTGATATTTATAAAGCATTGAAAAGAGAAATATACCAGATTTATACACTGCTGTTATCGTTATTGCTCACACTTCTTCAAATTGCACATCCTTCAAATTGCAGCCAGGATGGACTTTCGATTGTAGGTATGAATCTCAATCTATAATATTGTGGTATAAGACATCATCTTCCTTTATTCTCCTCTTCAGTGCTGGGGGCAGACACAGGGAGTGCTAATGTGTTGTCTTAACAACTCACCATGTTCATATTGCAAAACCCAGAAATATGGCTATGTCACTTTGTTGCCTAAACCTTACCTTCCCTGGCTCCCCATTACCTTCTGGATAGAGTCCAACTTTCTTCTTCTGGATACGAGGGTCTTAAAGCTCTGTCCCCCTCACCTCTCCCAACACCCTGGCTTAGGTTTTCACTTTCGTCTTTCCAAGCGTCGAAGTTCGCTACTTTATACTGCTGCCAGCTTGTGTCTCTGTTTTCCAACTTTGCTTATTCTGTTCCCTCCTTCTGGAATACCATTCCCCTCTCCTCTTTGCTTGGCTAATTCCCTTTCAACTTTCAAAAAACTCAAGCACCATCTCTTCCAGGAAGGCTTCCCCAAATCCCCAAGTTGTCTGTAAGGTGAAGTGATATGCTTCTGTGCCTGGCTCCCTGGCTAAAGTTGAAGCCACTTGGGGTGTCTGGCATGTTACGTTTGCATGCTCTGCGTTCTAGCACAGACAGCTTTCTACAACTGCATGGGCTGTGCATTGCATCACTATAGGGCTGCTTGTTGCAGAGTTGTGCACTACCTGGCCCACTGTCCACTATGACCCTGAGCACCAAATTGAGTCCCACAATAGGCGAGCAGTATTGTGCCCTCAAGCTCTAGACAGTTATTCCAGCATCTATTTATAGCTGCCCATTGCTGACCAGCCTCTCCTAAGTACTTCATTAGGTTGGTAAGGAGTGACTGAAAGTGTTTTAGAATCAGACCTCATTTCTTAATAAGAGATGCCTAATTCTAATTGTTCTATATTCAAGGGAATCTCAGCAGTAGGGCTGGGAGAGGGGAATAGGGGAGGGACCCAGGCCTAAGATGCAACTAAGGACTTTAATTGGAGGCAGCTCCTCTGCAGTGGCTTCTCCGGGAGCCGAAGTGACTCTTGTTGGAGGCACAGGGATGGCTCAGACGTCTTCTCCTCCTCTGGGGAGTTTCCGAATCAGTCTTCATGGCCCCTGTTCACCGCCCCCTTCCTGCCGGAGACCCTCCAGCAGCCGTGCAGCCTCGGAGACCTGCGAGGGGGCTGCCGTCTAGAATGTTCAGGGTCTCCCAATGAGGCATGGCTGTTACGGCCAGCGATCCTGGGAGTAGCGGCTTAGGTTTCTCTTGTGAAATCCTCTTTTGGAAATATGTGAATTCACATCTGAAAGAAGAAAGGGAAAAATCACACTGAGTGAAGGCTTTGCTCTGGGCCTGGGGGGACTGTTCTGGTCGCCTCCATCCCTGGTCATTGTCAGTTTCTGGAATACTGTGTGAGCCACGTGGATCCTGGCCTGGGACGCATTGGTACCCCATTGGAGCATTCAATGACAGCAGGGTGTCTTGCAAAGTGCAGTGGCCTGGAAAATAGAAGAATTGGGCCCATAATGGTTCTGACGTTAACGCAACTCTCTGCTGCGCCTTTGGAAAGTCCCTTCCCACTGTGGGCCAAAGCCTTCTCTACACAGTGAGAGGTGGGTTTTTTTTTTTTAACATCTTTATTGGAGTATAATTGCTGTACAGTGTTGTGTTAGTTTCTGCTGTATAACAAAGTGAATCAGCTATACATATATCCCCATATCTCCTCCCTCTTGCATCTCCCTCCCACCCTCCCTATCCCATCCCTCTAGGTGGTCACAAAGCATCGAGCTGATCTCCCTGTGCTATGTGGCTGCTTCCCACTAGCTATCTATTTTACGTTTGGTAGTGTATGTATGTCCATGCCACTCTCTCACTTAGTCCCAGCTTACCCTTCCCCCTCCCCGTGTCCTCAAGTCCATCGAGAGGGGGATTTTTAAACTATGCTCCATGGAGCCCTGTGGAGGGGAGGGGAGCTAGGGGGGCTCCCAGACCCTCACCCCCAATTCGAGTAGAGCAGGACCCCTTAGATTTTTTATAGAAATTGGACTTTGAAATTTTGTTTGCCAGGAGGGTTTAGCTGTTACGAGAATTCTGAGGTGACTGGGCTGGATGACGCTTACCTCTTAACAGCCAGCCTAATAGGGTGGTTGTGAGCTATGTGAGATCACCTGGGTACAGTGTGGGTGCCCATCAATGGGGCTGCATTCCTTCTTTCTGGATGTGGCTACGCTCCAGGAACCAGAGGCATTTCTCCCCCCACTGGACTACGCTCAATCCACAGGCATTTTCTGGCATGTTTATTTGCCATGTACCTGGTTGAGTTTGGAGGAACAAAAGTGATGTAGGCCCTGCCCTCCTGGAACTTATCGTCTGGTGGCCGAAGCAGACATGAAGCAAACAATCACATGCAATACACATATAAGACAGTGCCACAAGGGCTTAGAAGGAACGTATGGTTATGTGTTCTTTCTTCCCAGACCTCCTGCTCCTCCTGTAATTCCCAGCTCAGAGGGTCCGGCAGCCAGGTCTTAGACCCCTGGACTCTGTCCAGCGTGTCCTAGAATGTGACTGCAGCTTCCTGAAGGGAGCAGTCCTGTCACCCCACTTAGCTCAATATCAAATTGGGGTTTGGTCATTAGGGCAAGGCCCCCTCCCCCAGAGGTTCCTGGTCAGTGTTAGGACCCCAGTTTGGAACTCACCCTCAAACTCACTGCTGCTGAAATAGGATGTTCTCTTTTCTGGATGGAGCAGGGAGTTTCCCCAAATCACGTGGGACGCTTCATTATCTTGCTTGAGATTTTGTCCGTCAAGCTCATCCTTCTGCAGACCTGGCAGTGGTAATTCCCCGTGGTCATGTGGGGAGGCTCAGAGGTGAAGGCGTTTTGCCAACTGGAGCAGGGCACATGGACCAGTGGTGATTATCGTGGGGTGGGGAGTACCTGAGTCTGCGTCCTCTAGTCTTCTGAGTTCTCTGCCTCATAAGCAGGCACTGGATTCAAAATATGTATTCTTTTTAAAATATAAAGTTTACTTTTTTCCTGTTTATAAATATAATGCATACCCATTATAGAAAAGCTAGGAAATATTGAAGAATATGAAGTAGGAAAAAAAGCCCCAAACACCCCTCCCCTCAGATGTGATCACAGCTCCAGTGTTTGCCTATATGCACATTTCTACATAGTCCATCACATCCTGTATGTTATGCATGCATTTCACTTTTTACATATCATAAACATTTTTCTCACGTCACTAAATTTTAAGAATTTTATGGATAATTCAGGATTTATTTAACCAATGTTCTATTGTTGGGTGTTTAGACTGCTTTCAAATTTCACTACCGTAAATACCATTGTGATGACCACTGCTGTATAGAAGGCTTTGTTTTGACATACTCCTAGATTCTTAAAAGAATAACATACAATCTTGTCAACAGACTAAGCTGTATTCTGTAATAAACGACTGTCCTTTTCTAGCCGCATACCTTGAACAAATTGCTTCACCTCTCTCTGTCTGTGTTTTCAGACCTGCAAAATGATATATCCATTCTGGGTAATCAGGTCCACTTCTTAGAGTTATTACAGAGATTAAATAAGATCACTTTTCTAGTGTGTAAGCTCTGAAACAGTAGGGGACTTATCTGATCACAGCTGGGTCCCTTGGGCCTCGACAGTGCCTTGCATGTAATTGGGGCTCAGTAATTATCATTATTATCATCTTGGACAAAGGGACTGACATTTTCAAGTTTCTTGGTTTTTATCGTGAAATTATTTTCAGGGGAAGTATTTTAAAGGCCCCTGCTATGGATTGCTGGCAAAATATGCCATGAGAATTTTTTTCCTGCCATTGAACTGTCCTGTCTCCTAGTAGGATTGTGCCAGCTGCCTGACCAGCCTCCCTGACCCCACCACTCACCGCCCAACTGCGTGTTTGTCAGTCCTAGCTTTGCCTGATCTTGACAATAATGCTTTTTTTTTTTCTGTCTGAAATTGCTGATTTTGACCCCCAGTCTTCTCCACTATGACCTTTTTTCCTGGATCATCAAGAAGGATGTAATTACAAACCGAAGGTCAGGATGCCTTCTCTCTCTCTCTCTCTCTCTCCTCTTATACATGGTGGCCTTGGAAACTGTGTGTTCCAGATGCTCTGACTAAAGATGAAAATAGATGTGTAATAGACTTTGCATGAGCAAGAAATACACTTTCGTTTCGTTTAAATGATTGAGATTTAAAGGCATATTTGTTTTAGCAGCAGAGCCTATCCTATCCTGGCCAGTACCTATATATCATAGTTTCCATTTGTTGACCTTTGTTGAATGCCTACCTAGTGCAAGCCCTGTGCTTGGTGCTTCTATATATTCCCTCATTTAATCCTCCCAGTGATCCTGAAAAGTAATAATACAGTATGGATATCTCCATTTTACAGGTAGGGACACTGAAGCTCAGAGTGAAAGGGTAAGTGACTTGCCCAATTCTGTGGCAGAGCTGATTGGATCTAACCCCAGCCCCAAAGGCAGCGTTTAACTGCTATCTTTATAGTCTTTAGACAAGTGATTCTCAGACTATGATGTACGTTCAGGTTTCCCTGTGGGTCATGTTAAAACGTAGGTTCTGACTTGGTAGGACTGGAGTAGGGTCTGAAAGTGCAGCTTTAACAAGCTCCCAGGTGATGCCAATGTTCCTGGTTCATGAATCACACTTTAAGTTTCAAGATTTTTAAGCTCTATTGTTTATTTGTTTATTTATTAATTTTTTTTTTTTTTTTTTTTTTTTGTGGTACGCGGGCCTCTCACTGTTGTGGCCTCTCCCGTTGCGGAGCACAGGCTCCGGACGCGCAGGCTCAGCGGCCATGGCTCATGGGCCCAGCCGCTCTGCGGCATGTGGGATCTTCACGGACCGGGGAACGGAACCCGTGTCCCCTGCATCGGCAGGTGGACTCTCAACCACTGCGCCACCAGGGAAGCCCTGTTGTTTATTGATTTGGGTACTTAACCACCCAATCTTCACCTCATTTTAGGTTGGAATTATTCAATCAAAAGCTGAAGGAAATCTGAGGGTATCTCAGCAGGAAGGGGGATGAGCAAAATGAGGCCTCGAGAGGTCAGGCAGGGTGTTTTTGCCTGGTACCTACCATACTTTGATGACTGAAGCTCTTGGGTTTGACTGGGGATCTTGGAGTCATCTGTGGCATTGGGTTCCTCACAGCACTTGCAGCATATACAGAAGATCTTCGAGGCCAGGTTTCGGTGGGCTGCTGTATGAAAGAAAGGAATGGGGCCTTGGGTTCTGGGGCCTGAATTCCAGATGCCCCGTTGGAAATTTACTGTGATGGGGGTCCTACAGGGTCAGCCTCTCCCAAGGTATAATAACATTTCCCTCTCCCAGATCTCTTGTAGCTCCCCACGGCCAGCAGGCCCAAGCCCTTCAGTCTAGGTTGCTCTCTCTTAAGGTCACTATCCCTATTTTATACAAAATTTTCTTACCCATGGAAAGGAGTTGAAGCCTCTGTTCTTCCAGCTTTGCTTGCAGGGGTGCCTTATTGAATCAACCGATCTTGAACTTGAGCCCAGTTCCCTGGGCAGGGCTGTTTCCTAAATAAACATACGGCTGTGCGTGAAAAGTGCCAGTCCTTTACCTGTGCTCACACTCCAGGTAGGATCGCACTACAGCAGAATCCCAGCCCATGCGGAAATCCACGTAAACATGCTTGGCTTTTAACCAGATCTGTATTCTACCCCGTTTCTAGGGGTAGGTTCCTTAACCTTCTCGAGCCTCACTTTTATCACGTGGAAAATGGGAAAAGCAGTGCCTACTTTGCAAAAAGTAAAGGTTTAAACATACGAAAAGTGACCCCTGTGGTGATGGGTACACAAAGTGCCCAGTCAGTGGTCATTGTATTTCCTTTCCCTTCCCTTCATGTAGCTCATTGGCTCCAAACTATTCTAGCTGGTCCAGGTCCCATGAGAACATGGTGATGAAGCACAGTCTTGTAGATGTAGGTCCTGGTTCTGCCACCAACTTGCTGTATGGCTTTGAGTAAGTCCATGCTTATCTCTGTGTCTCAGGCTTCTCATCAGTAATAAGAAGAAGTTAGGTTAGATGATCTCTTCAAGGATCTTCCTAGTTTGGGTGGTCCAGAATTACAAGGCCTTGTTTTCATCCCAAACTCCTTTCACTGTGTATCAACTTTTCCAGGTCTCTGAATGCTTCCTGTTCTCCCTTCCCTTTCTGTGGCAAACCCCCTCGTAGGAAATTCTTCTCACAATACCCAGCTCACTGTGTGAGTTGTCTCACTCATGGGCATTTGCTTCTCATTTTCTCTACTCTCATACCATCCAAGCCACCATCAGCTCTTGCCTGAATTATGGCAGTAGATTTCAAACAGATCTTACTGTTTCTTTTACCCTTGACTTCTTAATAATTAATACAAAATCTCTAACTTCCTGCACATAAGCTATTCAATATAGCACAATTTATATACTGTGGCTAGACACAGCCAGCAGACTAGACACATACGATGTCCCCATTGTGTGGGATCCTTGGACCAAGAGGGGCACTTTCTGGGCCCATTTAGCTTCAATCTCCAATAGTCCTTTGCATCTGCTGTCAAGTGAGTTTTTCATCATAATTTGATCTGTGACATATTTCTCTGAGCTCTCTTTAACGGATCTATTTTCTTAGGATTTATAAGCAAATAGAAATTAATATAAGGCAATTAGATCTTTTGTTTTGGAGATGCACCGTTTAGCAAATATGCTTTCCATTAATACGCTGATTCTTCTGCTGCTTGCTATAGTTTCAATCTTCATCTACTTATATAAACTCTTGCTTCATGGGCTTTTGTTTTGTTCTAGATTGCCTTATGTATGTTGAGTGTAGAAGGAAGTGCTTCATAAGGAAGAAATGAAAACGTAAGTCTGACCTACCTCCACCACCAGGCAGCCCTGGGAACTAATGGTTGGAGGTCTGTTAGATTGGTGGTCAGTTTCTATAAAGGAAATTGCTAAAACTTTGCCTTGGGTCTCTCCAAACCTTCATGAGCACATGTCTGTCTTGGTAAAGCAATGAAAAGTCACTTTTCTCAGCCTATATTTTGGAGTTAGTGATTTCTAGGGCATTGATCGTATGAAGCCTTTTAGGTTCTCCTTGGCCAAGGAATTCAAGATGTCATGCATAGTACAAAGTTTTGACTGACTGTAGTGTATTCTTTCCTGTTGGTCATGGTCTCGGCTGCATTAAAGTTGCTTCCTCTTCCCTGGAAAAACTCTTGCTTTGTATGTATACTCTCACTGAATGTGCTCTGATGTGCTTATCTTAATTAATGGCAAAATTTTGCTAGATGACTTAAAATTACAATGGCCATTATGGCAAACTTTCAGTGTCAAAAATAATAGATTTAAAAAAAAAAAAAGATTTAAGAGGGGCGGTAGAAGAGAGAGAAGACAAAAACACCAAACAGTCAGTAGAGGGCTTCTTTGACTGATATGCTCTCGCTCCAGAAAGAAGAAAAAAAAATCTTACCACTACTCAAACCTGAAACCTACTTGCCTTGCATGTCTCCCTCTCTCCACCTAGCTTTATCTCTACCACCCACTTAAACTTCTCTTGTTCCTTTCCCTAACTACCTAAATAAACTTTCTTCATGGGGCATTTCTCTAGAAAAGAGAACAAAACATTGTACAATATTCCCCTAAAACTCCTGTAGCAGAAGGTGGATCCAGAGAGGTTGAATTTAAAGCCTGGGTGAGAGCTGAATTGAGGAGAAATATTTTAAATCATCTCAAATTTCGGAACAACAGAAAGTTGCTGTCTAGTTCAGGATTCTGTTATTGTTACTTATTGCCCTAGACTACCACATTTGTATCAATTAGTTAACTTAACTGTTAACCTTCAACAATGGAGCAAAATGTTTAAAAGCAGCAGGATGGAAAAGACCAGAAGATTTAAATGACCCATCTATGCATAATTCCAAAAAATTAAGGGCTTGAGAAGTTAAGAAACACAGAAAATGCACCACATAAAATTATTTCAAAAGTTATTTCAAAAGGTAAAACCTTTTTCTTAAGGGTAGATTGGGCAAAGATTCAGAATTGAAAACAAAATCAAGATGAATCAGTAGGAGACTGAATAAACTTCAGGACGTTCTGGGGTAGACCAACAGCTTCAGGGAATCTTTTCTTCTTCTCTTGCAGAGGACTCAGACCTGAAATAGTGAACTTAGATACAATAAATTGGAATGAGAAATGTCGACTTTGATCTCCCGATTATTTTCAAATAGTCCTAAAAATTAATTAGAAATCAAAATAACTTTAAGCCTTCTTGGACCAAAAGTTCCTCTGTTCTTAAAGAACACGGAGCCTGTGGATGAGGACACGTGTGTGTGTGTGTGTGTGTGTGTGTGTGTGTGTGTGTGTGTATATGTATATATATATATATATATATATATATATATATATATATATATATCAGCACTCTCCTGTTCTTCCTCTAAACTCCCAAGGAAAATTGATAAATAAAGGTGGACAGTAATACTGCTTGATTGTTGACATGGTTTATTTCTTACTGGGAAATCAGACTCTTCAGTGCCAACCAGGCCTAAGACCTACTGTTCTTTGTGATGACTGTGTGCCTTTCCAAGTGTGCAACTCCCGGGCACACTCAGTGGACAATGTTTCTTACACAGTGTTGGAAGGGAAAAAATCCTTCATGGGGTTGTCAATATCCCAGACTTCTGAGAACAGTGAGCCCTCCAAAGGAGGTGGACAACACAAGGGGCTCATTTTCCTTCACCTTGACTGACATAGTACACAACACAGCCCACATCCTAGGGCACAACTGACCAATTGAAAATTCTTAGCTCAGGGAATAATGGATAATAGAATACCTTTGGATTTTATTTTGGCTAATCGGGGGATTATGCACCATTGCTTTCCCTTCATGCTGTACCTTGATTAATACCACAGGTGAGGTTGATCTATATCTAAGCCCAAAGAAAAGGCAACCTGGCTATTTGAGGTAGACACAGGGTATCATTTGAAATTTATCTTCTTCCGTCATACCTGGGAAATAGTTATGATTCTAGACTGCCTTCCACACTCTCTTAAAAATTCTTTTAATTATTATTGTTTGTCTCACAGTCATTCATTGGCTGTTGTCCAGAGAGTGGAATACTTTTATGCGGCAACTGTTTCAACTTCTGGCTCCACAGATGATTGAAAGACAGAAGCAAGAAGACATCAGGCTGGCTGATGCTCCAACTGAACATCAGATCTCTGTAAGTGGAAAACTGTAACTGTGTCTTCAAGGAAAGTGGCCAACAGTGGTGAAGATCTGGACAGTCCCTGAGGGTCTCTCCTGAGGCTTTGGTTGAGGGAGGGCCGAAAGGGGGAGATGAAGAATAAAAAAGGAGTTCCCACACTCCTAAGCGAAGACTGATTGCTTTGTAACCATGGTAACAGATAATCACCAGAACCTGTTTAAACCCGTTTAATCTGTTAATGAACTTTTATCTTGATGACCATTCTCCTGAAAGTAACATCCACAGACAGTACTTCATGGCCTATGGTCTACCACTCCTAAGCACTCCTGCCTCTGAAATACCACCTGTCCACGAACTCAGTGCCTCCACAAACCCCTTAAATATTAGCCATTAGCTTTGTTCAGAGACTTTGTCATCAGAGCATAGTTCTCTCTTGTTTAATGAGAAATAAATTCAGTTTTTGTTCCACACGTTGAGTGGAGGTCTCTTCTGCTAAAGCAGCTTATAGGTACATAGCATCTTGGAGATCATTCTGTAGTAGCAGCTCAGCAGATATTTTCAAATATAAGTCTATCTGAATCTAGCGCTGATGCTTTTCATATCTTTACTCCCCAGCAATTTCCCGAGAAACAGAGGGGAGTAGAACCACTTTCTCCTCTAAGTGTTGGTAGCCAAGAGTTTTGAACTTTTGAGCCCCTTCAGAAATGGAAAGGATCTTAACACTGTAGCAATTACAAGCACGTTCTTTGGGGTATAATTCCTAGGGATTTACAACTTGTTAGCTATGAAATTTAAAAGAATTTAACTTTCCTGAACTTCTGTTTTCTTATCTGTAAAATGGGAATGATAATAGTATCTACCCTAGAATGTGGTTGTGAGGATTAAATAATCCTCACATAACTAATGATGGAAAGTGCTTAGCACAGCTGTCTGGCACGTTGTAAAGGCTCAATAAATGTAAATGCTGATGCTGATGCAAATGTGGGGTTGATTTTGGTTAGGGCAGGGTGGGTGTGGTGTTTCTTGCACTACCAGCGCCCTCCTCTAGGTGGAAGCAGGAGCCAAAGAAAAGGGCCCT